GTCGAATGGGAGAAAAAATAAAATAATCGTCAGAAATACACTGGGAGGGTAGTTATCACGACAGCGAGGAGGAAAAGCAGAGAGCTCCGTCCTTGTGAAGAGTGGCACCGCTTTGCTACTGCGGGGGGCGAGGGCGGTGTTTTATTGGTTAAGCGGCAATTCATTGACCGGGGCAGCAGCTGTGTGGTGGTCTCTCGCCACCACCGAGCAAAACTTTAATAAAACTGCAAGACAAACTGGTTGTTCGTGTCATGTGTGGCGAATTTCCAGCTCTGAGAGAATTGTAACAATTGGTTTGACTGTCACGTGATAAAAACAAGCCAATTTGCATAGCCAACGTCGCAGAAGAGGAGCGCCGGACCCCACCTCGAGGCAGACCAAAACCCGGACAGAGACCCCCACAAGCCAGCCTGGGTCTATAAATAAAAAAAATACTGAGCATCAGTATTTTGGCACCAGGACCTCAGTACAAATCCGCCCCTGCAACCCGAACACAGATGCCAATTCTGTGACCGTCCCCCGGTCCAAGCTGGCCAGAGTGTGTGTGGGACACGTGTGCCAAGATGAAAGGTTTTCTTCTCAGGAGCACTTCTGTGGAAATGTCTCCTCCACAGGAAGGGGTTAAATGGGTCCACGGCGCAAAACTCCACTGGGAGCAAGCCGGGAACCAGGATGGGCGTTTCCATAGTAACTGGTTGTCATGGAGATTTTAAAGCGCTGCTGCCACATTTACATATACGAGTACAATAACAAAACGCGGACATACGTCACACGCGTGTAATCATACGTGGCGCACATTGACGCGTGATGCAACGCTGCCTCCGTTGCTGCCGATCCGAGAAAAATATCGAATTTGACTTCAGGACAGAGCGTTGCTTGTTTGCAAAATGCAAGCGTTATTTATTTCTTACAATAACTTCACCCGGAAAATGCCTCGCGACTGAGCGCCTTGTTTGCTCGGGTGTCCGGGGCCCAATTGTGCGGTGAAACGGCGAGTCTGTTCGGAAATGTCATGGCACGGCGTGGGGAAGGGGGGGGGGCGGGGGGGGGGGGAAAGGGGGGGGCGTGGGGGGAGCCACGGGACTCACGGATGAGCTGCGAGCGGTGGTTGTGACCGTGTGTAACTCCCCTGCGCGTGCGCTGCCGTGCAACGCGTTACAGTCGTCAACAACACATCTTTTGTTACTCACGAAGCCGGAATTTTTCCGAAATTAAGCGAAATCACAAATATTTATCGCACCATTATTTAGATTTAATTTTTTTACATTTTGCAATTTCAACTTCATCAATTCATCCTATCGGCCCTAATTGTTTTGTTACCCGGTAATTATTTACCAAAGCCTGAGAAATTACTCACACTTAAGATCCCAGTTTGAGGACAGGCAGCAGCTTGGTTTCAAACCCTAGAATCTCAGCGGAGCCGTCAGCTCAGTGCCGCGACAGTGCACGGCCACACGCTGGCGTTCATCGTTTGGCCACAATAGCAACCGCATCGGTTGCCAGCGAGCAGTCGGCTATGTACAACGCGTCCGTGGCCGGTGGGTCTCACGTCTTGAGGCCGGCATTCTCCAACAGAAGTTCCTGGAGTTGCGTGGAGCGCGCAACGGCCCGGAGGACTTGCTCGCTCACTTCCGAGCCCTGGAACAAGCAGAGCAGAGAGCGGTACGTCAACAAGTGAACCAGTGACGCGTGGAGCGGTGCGTTAACAACTAAACCAGTGAAGCATGGAGTGGTGCGTCAACAACTAAAGCAGTGACGCATGGAGCGGTGCGTCAACAAGTGAACGAGTGACGCATGGAGCGGTGCGTCAACAACTAAACCAGTGACGAGTGGAGCGGTGCGTCAACAACTAAAGTAGTGATGAGTGGAGCGGTGCATCAACAACTAAAGCAGTGACGCATGGAGCGGTGCATAAACAACTAAACCAGTGACGCGTGGAGCGGTGCATAAACAACTCAACCAGTGATGAGTGGAGCGGTGCGTCAACAACTAAAGCAGTGATGAGTGGAGCGGTGCCTCAACAACTAAAGCAGTGACGAGTGGAGCGGTGCGTCAACAACTAAAACAGTGACGAGTGGAGTGGTGCGTCAACAACTCAACCAGTGATGAGTGGAGCGGTGCGTCAACAACTAAAGCAGTGATGAGTGGAGCGGTGCATAAACAACTCAACCAGTGATGAGTGGAGCGGTGCGTCAACAACTAAAGCAGTGATGAGTGGAGCGGTGCATAAACAACTCAACCAGTGACGCATGGAGCGGTGCGTCAACAACTAAAACAGTGACGAGTGGAGCGGTGCGTCAACAACTAAAGCAGTGACGAGTGGAGCGGTGCGTCAACAACTAAAACAGTGACGAGTGGAGTGGTGCGTCAACAACTAAAGCAGTGACGAATGGAGCGGTGCGTCAACAACTAAAACAGTGACGAATGGAGCGGTGCGTCAACAACTAAAGCAGTGACGAGTGGAGCGGTGCATCAACAACTAAAGCAGTGACGCGTGGAGCGGTGCGTCAACAACTAAACCAGTGACGAGTGGAGCGGTGCGTCAACAAGTGAACCAGTGACGCATGGAGCGGTGCGTCAACAACTAAACCAGTGACGCATGGAGTGGTGCGTCAACAACTAAAGCAGTGACGCGTGGAGCGGTGTGACGCAACAAAAATGTACAGCTCAACATGACCGGGAGGGGCGAGCGAGTGCGTGTTGCTCACCAACTTCAGGTCCTGTGCCAATAGTTTGGTGAACCACTGGTTAAACTCCAGCACAGCCACAATCGGTACCAAGTCCCTGCAAATAGATCGGCAACAGAGCGTCACAGCCCCCACAGAGCAAGACATCGAGCGAGTGAACACGTGGTTGCGTACGCGACTGCAGAAGTGCCGCCGTGAACCCAAAGCGTCCCTTGCACGCCCAAATGCCGCTTCCCTCCTCGCTCTGCGGTGGAGGCGTCCGTAGCCGTGGCGTTCCACCAGTGGCCGTGGTGCTCACCGATTGTCCAGGTGGCTGAAGTCCTGCAGGTTAAGCTCGTGGGTGTCCTGGGAGAGGTAGATGGTGTCCACGTCCTGCCACGCATACGTTGAACAAAATGCATATAATATAATTATAATACAAGCACTCCTCTACTTACGAACGAGTTAGGTTCTAGAAGTCTGTTCGTAAGTCGATTTGTTCATAAGTCCACCTTCACTCCTGTCGATTCCAAACGTGTTGTTACAGCACGTACACTAAACACGGGAAATGGCTTTAAAAGTTGTATAATCTCCTGTAGATGTAGATGCCACTGGTTCTTCACGTTCTGCAGATGTAGATGCCACCACCGCCATCTATTGCACGGCGGTTTAACTTATCGCTCTCAGTCTGAACAGGCAATTTTGTTGGCGTCTCTAAAGTTCGCAAGTCGAATGTCGTAAAGGAGCCCCTGTACTCCTGTTGTGTATCGATAGTTCAATGTTCATGTGCCACTTTATTGAGGGACTATTGTTTGTTATCTTGGTGTGGTCTGGAACTGTTCCTGCATTATTATTATTATTCACCCAGTGAACCACCGAAAAATATTCTTAGCTCTTTCGGTAAAGTCACGTTGAAGGGAAACAATAAAATAATAAAATATATATAAAACAATAAAAATTCTCACGACGTTTCGACCATAACACAAACGGTCATCATCAGGTGTGAAAAAACCAACGGCAAGAAACATTTGAAAGAAGTAGCGGTGTGCATTAATTTATTTATTTTTAAACGGTGTATTTATTTAAAAAAAAACGTCAGCGCCACGTGCAGCGATTTGGCAGTTTATTTAGAAGGACTAGTCCATCTATGTTCTGAAAAGAGGAGGGGGGAGACGAAAAATTAATGTATGCTGTCTGAAAGCCACTGTAAGCGTGAACAATCAATTAAGACCTGAAATGGTTTATCAAATCCTTCCAATGATTGCTAAGCCAGAATCCATCTTCTCGGTTGAAATTGTCGCTGTGCTTGTATATGTGGATAGCCTCATGAACGAATCTCTCATGGTAGCCAGATGGCTTACAAAGAACCTCTGTCTTGGAAAAGTCAATGTCATGTGAGCCTACTGAATTATAACAATGATCTGCCATGGCCGAGGTGTTGGTCCTACCGTGTTTAAGGTCTGTTTTGTGTTCACGAATGCGGTCTGAGACATGGCGTTTGGTTTCTCCAATGTAACTACTACCACAGAGGCAACTTAGTTTGTAGACACCAGGGTACTGTATGTCCGGAATCACATCTTTTACAGACGGAACCAGATCACGGATTTTATGTAATGTGTTGAAACGGACCTGGATCTTGTGTTTATTGAAGATTTTGGAGATCTTTTTTGTGATCCCCGCAATGTAGGGTAAAGTGATGGTTTTGAAATGCTCCTCAAGAGGGTCCTTCTTCATGCTTTGAGTGATAGCTTTGCGGATTGTATAGTCGGAGTAACCATGAGCCTTAAGAGATGTTTTAGCAGTGCTGTCCCACGCCACCTGTAAAGCCACCACATTCCAGATGACTAAATAACGAAGACGTCTAGATCTTTGTTTGGCAGCCTCATTCACAAAAAACTTCATCTCAAAACGCCACTTCAAAACGAGATGGAAATGAACCCATTTGCTGTACTCTCACGCCCTGGCAAGCTAGGAGACGGGTAGGGAGAGAGTTCCTCGGAATGTGCGCGTGATCCACCGATGCCCCCTCACCGCCTCAGTGGCACATTATACAAGCCACGAGCAGCACGGCCACCAGTAACGGATGAGTCAACGGCCGTCCGTCGCTTCTTCCCGAGGCTCATCAGGGGGGAAGGATGGCGGCTCGCTGGCCCTCCCGGTGAATCAGTCAGTCAGTTACTCCTCTTCATCCCCCCTATGGGACATGAAGGCCGCAAATGAGTTCCCTCCACTTCTTCCTGTCCTTGGCAACGTGTAGAGCCTCGCCCCGAGAGAAGTTGATCGCTGTCACTAGCTCCTCCTCTTCCTTCACCACGGTCTTGCGCCAGGCGGTCTTTGGGGTGCGCCCGGTGAACGCTGCGGCGGATACCGGCCATGGAACACTCCGCGCCGTACACTGTCGATGTCAGAGATCCCCAAACGCCAAAAATCGTCTCACCCCCACCTCGCCCTCCCCCTCCCCCACTTGCTGAATTTGGGACTTTACCCCACAGGTGACTCAACTGGGGATGACACAGCAAGGCCTCGTCAACTGGGGATGACACAGCAAGGCCTCGATTTGCGGCCGCTCATGCTCACACGTTGCTTCGCCGCAACGTCGCCAGCTCGTTGGGAAAACGTCGTTCGATTTAAAGAACAACGTCTGGTTGATTCGCTGTAACGTCGTTGCGGAGAATTTTAAGAAAAGAATGCAGTGGCTTTGGCTGTATATTGTACGGTACTATACTAGCCTCTCTAAATGCAATCTCTTCCGCCATCTCTGGTGAGTGATCTGCATGGACTTATATTATTTATTGCTACATAACATATTTTTGGGTTCCTTTTGCTGTGTTTTTTTTTGTAATTCTCTCCAAATTTTGAGAATTTTTTTTTATCACCCACAGGAACGTATCCTAAATTTATATCGTCAAGTCAACGGTGAAATATATATGTATCAATTCACGTTTTGTCTTACCTAATGTCACGTTTTACAGGGATTCATCCCTTGCAGTGCATTGCAAACATCGCCACCGCCCACCGCAAAACTAGCGCGCAAAACGGTGCTCGTGAAACAGCAGTGCTTCTACCTTCCCCGATAGCTGTGCGCTATGAGAATCGCGCAAAAAATATAATAAATATGATGATATTATCACTTGCATATACACGGAGTGTGCTTACACACCTCGGCAATTCACGGTGCCTGACGTCTCATCTCAAGCGGGCGTTAGCCAAAGCAGCGATGATGGCTGCTGTGCGCGTCATCCCCACTGAGTAACTCGCAGGTGACGTTTTTGCAGATTTGGACTGTGAAGCCGGCAAAACAATGGGTCTAACTGGTCTCGAACTTGGTCAAACGGAGTGGGACTGAGTGAGCCACGGGTTCCAGCATTCGCGATCGTGAGAGGTGTGCGTGGGCGAGCGATCATGGGAGGGGTGTGTGGGCTAGCGAGTGAAGAGGTGAGAGTGGGCGAGCGATCGTGGGAGGTGTGGCCAGACGTACCCACTGCACCTCCTCGCGGTAAGGCAGGTTGTAGTAATCGCACAGACACGCGTACATCTGGGAGAAGCCGCCTGCCGTTGGGAGGGGTTGGACACGGGGAGCAGGGTGAGCACGCATTGTTCGGGCATGGATGATACGAAGACAAAGATCCCCCCGTGTGTAGCCTTAACAGACTTTTTGGGGTAAGTGCTGTCAGCGAGCACTTATGAAGGCCGGCACATAAAGGGGTGGGTGGCCAGCACCATGGCCGTCCGGCTTTGTCTCCGCAGTGCTGATGATTTTCACATCGCACCAGGTACTCGTATAAGGCTGAGTCACTCTCTAGGGGAGGTCCAGGACCGGTTCAGATAATTGCCACTGGTGTTGCCTGCGAGAGAGGGAACTGAACTGGAGTCGCCGGGTTGGTAACGCAGCGCTCTAACCGCGACACTACCACTCCCCACAACGTCAACGCAGGCATGCGATCTGTCTAAGCAGACAATTCGCCTCCTTCCCGTCTGACACATCTCATCTGCCACGCAGAATTATTCAAGAAAAACGCTTCACCAGTTTCGACATTCAGTGTCTCATCAGAAGAAACCGATCCGGTGGTGAGCGCATTTGTGCTACGAACCCGGCGACCCGGCTTCGATTCCCGCTCACGGTCAACACCAGCGATGATTATCTGAACCAGTCCTGGGCCTCTCCTAGGTCGACAGTCTCAAATGAGTACCTGGCGCGATGTGTAAACATCGCCACTCAGGAGACAAAGGGGGCCAGGCGTGGTGTTGGCCACCCACCCCCTCGTGTGCCGTGTCGGCCTTCATAAGTGCTCACTTACAGCACTTGCCCCTACAGCCTGTTAAGGATATGCGGGGGATCTTTGTCTTTGCTTCAGTCTGTGCGTGTTATTGCATTAGTGAGGGACAGTGGTGTAGCAGCAGCTAAGCGCTATGCGATGAACCCAGGAACTTGAGTACAATTCACGCCCACGGCCAACATTAATCAGTGTTGAACATCTGAAGGGTCTGGCACATTGTGGTGTAAACATTGCCACTTTGGAGACCAATACATGCACGGTGCTAACCACAACCACCCCCTCACAGAATCACTGTGTCGGCCCTCACAGGCACTCGCTAACAGCACTTGCCTCGACAACCTGCATTAGGCTACGTGGGGAGGACCTTAGTTTGTCGCTGTGTGATGCGTGCTGTGGTTCCTCACCGCACGGGCCTGGCTCGGGGGGCAAGTGGCTCTCCCACACGGCCTGCAGCCGCGCCAGCCGCTCCTGCGGCTCCACCACCACCCTCTGCATCAACCTCCTGCACCCGGGGCCGGTTCACAGACATCAGCGTGACGACGCGAAGTGATGAGACGACGCGGAGCGATGAGACAACACAGAGCAATGAGACAGAGCAGTGAGACAACACAGAGCAATGAGACAACACAGAGCAATGAGACAACACAGAGCAATGAGACAACACAGAGCAATGAGACAACACAGAGCAATGAGACAGAGCAGTGAGACAACACAGAGCAATGAGACAACACAGTGCAATGAGACAACACAGAGTAATGAGACGACACACACACCAGGTATTCCCTGTCGGGCGACGCTCCAGGTGGGATGTTAAAGTGGGTTACAAACGTAAAAGTAAACACCGCTAATAAAACCGCAACCGCGGCTCGACAAGTCCGTCAATGACGCTGCGGCCGTGACGGTGAACATTATACAGCAATGGAGCAGTGCGAGGGAAGAAGCAGAAAAACAAGTGTTTTGACCTGCAGTGTGGTGAGTGGGTGAGTAATTGGGTGGGTGGGCGAGTGGTGGTTGAGTGAGCGAGCAAGTACATGGGCGAGTCGGTGAGGGGGTGCGTGGGTGAGTGGGCGAGTGAGTGGGCGATTGGATGGTTGAGCGTAGGCGAGTGGGCGAGCGTGTTGTTGCAACTGGCAGTATGGTGGTGGGTGAACGGTGTGGATGAGACGAAACAGTCGGCGTCTGGCAGGCCGAGTCTCCACATCGGCGGAGGAGGGATCGACGAGGCACGTTCACGGGAACAGTCGCCGAGGTGGCAGTCATAAAAAGCGACAGGGAGGCGACCGCCTGCCGGCGAGCGAGCAACCGGAGTGAAATGGCGGCAGCTGGACCCGGCGCAGAGCCGACGGCACGGCCGCAGAGGGCGCAACGGCAGGACCATGACGAGCGCTCGCACAACCGGCGGCGTGGGGACGCTGTGGCACGCGCCGGGATACGCCCCGGCGGCACCTCTCGGCTCCATTCCTCGTTACCGCGCCGGCGCTGTGCGCTGTGCGTGCACGCTGTGCGCTGTGAGCTGTGCGTGCGCGCTGTGTGCGCTGTGAGCTGTGCGCTGTGCGCTGTGTGTGTGCGTGTGCTGTTTCCTGTGAGCTGTGCGTGTGCGTGCGCGCTGTGCGTGTGTGCTGTGTGTGTGTGCTGTGTGTGTGTGCTGTGTGTGTGTGCTGTGTGTGTGCTGTGCGCTGTGCGCGCTGTGTGTGCTGTGCGTGCTGTGCGCTGTGTGCGTGCAGCTGTGCGGCTCACATGGGGGACGCCCCGGGGAAGAGCTTCTTGAGGGAGCAGCCGACGTAGCCGACGATTTGATCGGTCTCCTCCTGCGACGCCAGCTTGAAGGGGAAGGACTGCCGATCCGTGTCGATCAGCAGCTGGGGGGGGCGAGCAGCGTGGGCAACGCGCCCAGCGCACGCGGTTAGCGCGTGCACACATCACGACTCGGGGACGTTGCAGGGGTGCCGACCGCTAACCCTGTTCCGAATGGATTCTCACGAGTAAAGACATTTTTGTATTTTGTACATTATTTTTATTCGCGACATTCTTCCTCTAGGACAAATGCTGATTCGATAACGGACCAGCAGTGTTCTTATGTAGCAAACGCACACACACACACACACGTAGCAGACACGTAATGACACGTGCGCACACATTATACATCTATAACCGATACAGTTTGCATTTTCGCACTGAATATCACACCCAGTCAATCGTGTAAATAAATAAATAGATGCCTCGCACGGCCGCTCCATGCAGAACGCACCCGCGGCTGCAGCAGTGGAAGCGTGAGTGAGGCGTCGCTCACAGATCTCACTCCGCCAAGAGCCGTGACACCGCACGTGCAGTGCGCGTGCCGGAGGAGGGGTACCTCGGTGTGTCTGTGCGGTGTTCACTCGAGCCACGCGGATACGCACCTGGCACGGCTTCACACTCGTCAGCGATTCTATGTCCAGGAAGTGGAAAGAAGTCTCCACCTGGACGCCAGACAAAATGACAGCACACACCACAGCATTCGCCTGGTATGCAGGAGGTCGTGGGTTCGATCCCGATCCCGACGCTGACGTCTGCTGCTGTATATTTGAAGTTTGCGTGTCTCTCTCCTCGTGGTCATGTGGATTTTTCTCCAGGTCCTCGGGTTTTTCCCCCTCACATTTATAACGTGCATTTAAGAGTATGTCTGCTATATAGGTCCACGTGATAAGCCATCGTTGAGCTATCATTTATGGCCAGATTGCTTCTGAAAAAAGCTACATAGCTCAGTGGGCCTTTCCTGGTAAAATAAAAGCTAGTTTATAGCTTAGTTTATTCTGTCAGCATTGTCGGTTTCTTAACACAGCTGCAGAGTACAGTGGGCCCAAAGCGCCAAGTTCCTTCAACAAACAGCGCCGTCAAAGTTGACATAGGCGAGAGTATTAAACACGTTTTGTAAAGTTGAGCAAGGTCGTTATTATTTTTTTGTAAGAGCTTGGGACAAGAGACGGTGATGACGAAGATGATGGGAGGAGGGAATTCCATGGTGCAGCAGAGAGTGGGAAGAAGCAGAAAGTAAAGTGCGGTGACCTGCCGACTGGTGAGTGAGTGGAGGAATGAGTGGGTGAGTGAGTGGGTGAGTGGATGAGTGGAGGAATGAGTGGGTGAGTGAGTGGAGGAATGAGTGGGTGAGTGGAGGAATGAGTGGGTGAGTGAGTGGGTGAGTGGATGAGTGGAGGAATGAGTGGGTGAGTGAGTGGAGGAATGAGTGGGTGAGTGGAGGAATGAGTGGGTGAGTGAGTGGGTGAGTGGATGAGTGGAGGAATGAGTGGGTGAGTGAGTGGAGGAATGAGTGGGTGAGTGAGTGAGTGGGTGAGTGGATGAGTGGAGGAATGAGTGGGTGAGTGAGTGGAGGAATGAGTGGGTGAGTGGAGGAATGAGTGGGTGAGTGAGTGAGTGAGTGTGTGAGTGAGTAGGTAAGTGGAGGAATGAGTGGGTGAGGGAGTGGGTGAGTGGAGGAATGAGTAGGTGAGTGAGTGGGTGAGTGGAGGAATGAGTGGGTGAGTGAGTGAGTGGAGGAATGAGTGGGTGAGTGAGTGAGTGCGTGAGTGAGTGGGTGAGTGGAGGAATGAGTGGGTGAGTGAGTGTGTGAGTGAGTGGGTGAGTGGAGGAATGAGTGGGTGAGTGGGTGTGTGAGTGTGCGAGTGGATTTGTGAGTGGATGAATAAGTGGTTGAGTGAGTGGATGAGCGGGTGTGTGAGTGAGTGAGTGGGTGTGTGAGTGGGTGGGTGAATAAGTGATTGAGTGTGTGAGTGAATGAAAATGAGTGGGTGTGTGAGTGAGTGTGTGACTGGAAGAATGAGTGAGTGGGTGTGTGGGTGAGTGGCTGGTTGTGTGTATGTTGTTGTGACCTGCAATGTGGTGCTGGTTGAACGCAGTGTGGTGGTTGAACACAGTGTGGTGGTGGTTGAACACAGTGTGGTGGATGAGGCGACACGGTCATTGTCTGGTATAGACTGAGTCCTGTACACAGGTGGAGAAATTAATGATTTACATTCGCAGGAAAATGGACGACAGCATTAGTGATAGAAGAGTGAAACGGAGGCAATTGATCGCTGGTGACCGAGTGAATCCATTGTGAAAACTATAATAACCATCAATATTCCATATTAACGGAGTATTATATGTTATATAGTTTTGTGCCAAACTAGGACTCATATCAAACAGAGAGGGTCCTTGCCTATAAACATCTGGTAGTTCACACAGCGTTGGTTTGAACAAGCCCGACTCTGCTGATGAAACCTGCCAAGGGTTTGCCTGCATTCTTTAAAACCCGTGCTGCTGAAACATTACACTCCCAGAAGGCCGTGCGGCCGAGGGGATGTGTAACGAACACGGAGCGGCAACCGTGGGACGGGGGGCGGCCGCACCGTCCGCTCGTCCACTCAGCACCTGGCGGCGAGGAAGAGGTATCGGCACTGCGACACACACAGCAACAACGGCCACTATTCGCCACTAAGTGGCAGAGACATCACCACGGCGCTTGTGGCAGAATAGGTGCGCTTCGAGGCCAAGTTAAGTGTTGAAGGATCACTGGCAGCAGATCAGAGGAGAGGCTCAGATGCCATGGGTCACCTGAGATGACCGACAGATGCACCAACCGTGCTCCCCACTATGCCAACGTGCTGTGTTTTAGCCGCCCAGGCGCTCCGCTCGTTGTTGTGAGCGTCGCTGCTCTGCCCTCCGCTGCTGTTAGCGGGTGACTCCAACTCCCCCGGTAGCATCCTTCATTAGTCTTTTTCACAGAAGCTGGTCTTGACACTACTGGTCCCAGTCACCGACAAATCCACTCAGCTCCACATCCTCCTGCACAACACCAGTCCATCTCTTCTCCAGCCCCTGCCGTGCCCGTTTATCCCTCTCTATCTGGCCAAACAGAAGCTGCTTGGGGGCATGCTGTGACTGGGCATGTGGGCTATGTGATCCAGCCAACGCAGCATCTCCTACCAGAGGAGCTCACTGATGGGACTGTTTAGATCTTTCAAGGATTTGTAAGCTCATCACACAATCCACCCTGGTTAAACCCGATATATGTAATAGGCAGGCTAACCTTATTTTTCTAACCGGCACAGATGTTCCATGAGAGGGGTCCATGTTGTGCAAGAATAGAGAAGGGAGGGCATAGTCGTGGCCAAGAAGACCCGAAACTTTGTGTGGCGCAACAATCCAGGTAGCTTCCACACAGCTTTATGCAGCAAATACAAAAATAATGCTGCTCATCAGATTCGGAGTGAGATCTCCACTGCAACACCGGAGCTGGTCATAAGCGCACTGCCCAGGTACAGAAACTTTTCCACTCTCTCCACAACTGCCCTGTCACTCATGGGGAGTTGAGGGGGTGGAGTGTTCGATGACACAATACCCTGGCAGGTGCTTAGTTTGGTAGGGCTAATAGGATCACTCTTAGAGTTGTGATCGTAAGCTCCTGGGGCAGTTTCCGTCTCCTCAGCAACCTGCAACCACCACTCATTCTTGCAGTTCCACACGGCTCTCTGAAGCTCTGAGCGAAGGCTGTGGTAAGCCTCTTCATTCTCGGACGTGGGATGTCGTAGACGGTGGGAGTGGGCCTGTCGCGTTCTCTCGGCGAGCTGGAACACCTCCTCCGTCAGCCAGGGTATCTGGGGAGGTCTGGACTGTATGCCCACTGCAGCCGTTGCAGCTGCATGAGCCGCTGTCCTGAACCTCACCCGTTTTTCCCTCAGCAACAGGAGAAGCGGGGGGGGGGGGGGATGATGCCAACCCCAGCCGGAAGAATCCCTGTCACATCTTACAGATGACAAGCGATGACAAGCAGCCAGATCAGCTCCACGAACGCAGTGCGGCACGCGGACCCTCGGAATCGCCCCGGTGACGAGACGTGTGCCGAGGTCTGGAGACGGTGGCACTCACCTTGGAAGGGACGCGGGCAGTCAGCAGAAACGTGCGGCACGCGGTCAGGATCTGAGGAGGGAACACGCACACACACGCGCCACACAAAAACACCACGCAGCTGTGAGTCATTGCCGGGCGGCCATGCTGCACGTGGCCCGTAGAGCAGCACTGTGGAGGCAAGGGTTGGTGGATCACACACACATTCCTGAGTTTGTCTCCAGGCACACCGGTTGTTCCTCCCCTGTGTATACAAATATAGAACCGCAGAACTTGGGGAATTTTGGCACGGGTCCTCGGCCGCCGTCTCGCTCACACGGTCTCCCTCCCGTCTTGTGTGCCCAGCTATCAGAAACAAATCTAGTCAACACCCCACCCGCCAACCCCTCTACCAGTGAAATGCTTACACCGCCACAGTGAGTCTATGATCGGCAAGTTGCACGTGGCCGTGTAAGGTGCGGGTGCGCCCACCCCTTCGAAACACGTCCGGTCAGCGTGGAAGAGCGGAATAGATGCCGATGAGAGGTCCCTCGAGGGGAGACATTGCAGGGCTGCGCCTGTGCCTCACACCCGGAACTGAGAAGAGCCCCGCACGGTGCGTGGACGCGAATTTGGCCGCCGTAGGTACTGTCACGTGGCTGCCGCTGGCCAATCAGGAGTCGCGCGCCCATGCGGTATGTAGGTCCCCGTGCACACATTCCTGACATTCCACAGGAAACGGGTGCTGGTTAGTGACCAATCGTACCACCATCAGTTACTGGCTTAGTGGTCATAGTTTAACAACCCTAATGAGCATCCATCTGTGCGGGGATTTAGCGTCTATCCTATCACCACCACCCCCACTCCCCCCTATCGCACGTTTTGGACAAACATCCCAAACTAGCTTTTTTGCCCGTCCAAGGATGGCTGTATATTGCTGTAAATCTGAAATATTCAAAAGAAAAATTGTTCAGCTCATGATTATTAATGAGGAGGGGGGGGGGTTGCCCCATGAATATTAATGAAGGGGGGGGGCTCTTTTGCATTGACGTCACGCATGGATGTAGCGCTGTGCTGCGTAGATTTATTTTGTACTGTCACTTTCTGTAAAGAAACGTCATATTTGAAGCGACTTTGCGTTATAAATTATTTAATTCAGCTCGACCTTCCTCTGCGTTAGTGTGAAAATCCACCCACTCATGAATATTAACGAGAGGAGTGGGCCTCATGTGGAGTGACGTCACGTGGGGGGGTGGGCCTCATGTGGAGTGACGTCACGTGCAGGACGGACAGACATTTCTGGGTGATTATAGTCGGTAATATAGGACCACTGAGCTTGAGCAATTGTTGGTAGTGCCGGTTCTGGCTCCCTTTCCAGCTCATCTGTGGGTTCCCCCGCACCTCCGTGTGAAACGTGCTCGCGTTACAAACTCCACGGGAGCAGCAGCGTTTTGAGATGGGGTGTGCGTGAATGACGACTCTGTATGTAACAAAAATACATAATTACCATGAATTACCCAGAGCACACCGATGCGAGCTGCTGCACAGGCAATGGTGAAGCAGGGCAAGGCAGGTACACCTGGCAGGTACGCGAGCCCCCTGCAGGCCAGAGCTGCTGCTCAACACATTCTGGTGCCCAGAGGGCATACGCCAGTGAATATTTGCGGTTGGGGAGCCCTCTAAAGAAATACAAAGATCCCCCGTATAGCCTTAACAGACTTTTGCGGCAAGTGCTGTTTGCGAGCACCTACGAAGGCCGGCATGGCGCACAAAGCGTTGGGTGGGGCCAGCACCACACCCAGGCCGCTTCGTCTCCCGAGTGTCATCGTGCCAGGTCCACATTTGAGGCTGAGTCGACCTCGGGGAGGCGCAGGACCGGTTCAGATAACCATTACTGGTGTTGGTCGTGAGCGGGAATCAAAGTCGGGTTGGTGGGTGCGTAGTGCAGCGCGCTACCTAAGACATTACCACCCTTGAACCTCGTCATCGTGATTAGAGTTTCACAAGCAATGGCATAAAAAAATAATGTGACAGTGAGCCTTTTGTAGCAAGAAAACAGTTGTCATTTAATATAAATTTACATTTGTTCAATGTGTTCAAGTAGTTACACACAAGTTGTACACAAAGGAGTGGGGTCCTTTCTCATCTCTATTTTATTGTTTCTGCACTGATCTCTATTTGATTGTTTCTGCACTGATCTCTATTTTATTGTTTCTGCACTGATCTCTATTTGATTGTTTTTGCACTGATCTCTATTTGATTGTTTCTGCACTGATCTCTATTTGATTGTTTCTGCACTGATCTCTATTTGATTGTTTCTGCACTGATCTCTATTTGATTGTTTCTGCACTGATCTCTATTTGATTGTTTCTTCACTGATCTCTATTTGATTGTTTCTGCACTGATCTCTATTTGATTGTTTCTGCACTGATCTCTATTTGATTGTTTCTGCACTGATCTCAATTTGATTGTTTCTGCACCGATCTCTATTTGATTGTTTCTGCTCCGATCTCTATTTAATTGTTTCTGCACTGATCTCTATTTGATTGTTTCTGCACAGATCTCTATTTGATCGTTTCTGCACTGATCTCTATTTGATCGTTTCTGCACGGATCCCTATTTGATTGTTTTTGCACTGATCTCTATTTGATTGTTTCTGCACTGATCTCTATTTGATTGTTTCTGCACTGATCTCTATTTGATTGTTTCTGCACTGATCTCAATTTGATTGTTTCTGCACCGATCTCAATTTGATTGTTTCTGCACCGATCTCTATTTGATTGTTTCTGCTCCGATCTCTATTTAATTGTTTCTGCACTGATCTCTATTTGATTGTTTCTGCACAGATCTCTATTTGATCGTTTCTGCACTGATCTCTATTTGATCGTTTCTGCACTGATCCCTATTTGATTGTTTTTGAACTGATCTCTATTTGATTGTTTCTGCACTGATCTCTATTTGATTGTTTCTGCACTGATCTCTATGTGATTGTTTCTGCACTGATCTCTATTTGATCGTTTCTGCACTGATCTCTATTTGATTGTATCTGCACTGATCTCTATTTGATTGTTTTTGCACTGATCTCTATTTGATTGTTTTTGCACTGATCTCTATTTGATTGTTTCTGCACTGATCTCTATTTGATTGTTTCTGCATTGATCTCTATTTGATTGTTTCTGCACTGATCTCTATTTGATTGTCTCTGCACTGATCTCTATTTGATTGTTTCTGCACTGATCTCTATTTGATTGTTTCTGCACTGATCTCTATTTGATTGTTTCTGCACCAATCTCTATTTTATTGTTTCTGCACTGATCTCTATTTGATTGTTTCTGCACTGATCTCTATTTGATTGTTTCTGCACTGATCTCTATTTGATGTTTTCTTTTAGGATCTCTATTTGATTGTTTCTGCACTGATCTCTATTTAATTGTTTCTGTACTGATCTCTATTTGATTGTTTCTGCACTGATCTCTATTTGATTGTTTCTGCACTGATCTCTATTTGATTGTTTCTGCACTGATCTCTATTTGATTGTTTCTGCACTGATCTCAATTTGATTGTTTCTGCACTGATCTCTATTTGATTGTTTCTGCACCGATCTCTATTTGATTGTTTCTGCACCGATCTCTATTTGATTGTTTCTGCACAAATCTCTATTTGATTGTTTCTGCACAGATCTCGATTTGATTGTTTCTGCACCAATCTCTATTTGATTATTTCTGTACCGATCTCTATTTCATTGTTTTTGCACTGATCTCTATTTGATGGTTTTTGCACTGATCTCTATTTTATTGTTTCTGCACTGATTTCTATTTGATTGTTTCTGCCTTGATCTCTATTTGATTGTTTCTGCACTGATCTCTATTTGATTGTTTCTGCACTGATCTCTATTTGATTGTTTCTGCACTGATCTCTATTTGATTGTTTCTGCACTGATCTCTATTTAATTGTTTCTGTACTGATCTCTATTTGATCGTTTCTGCACTGATCTCTATTTGATCGTTTCTGCACCGATCTCTATTTGATTGTTTCTGCACTGATCTCTATTTGATTGTTTCTGCACTGATCTCAATTTGATTGTTTCTGCACTGATCTCAATTTGATTGTTTCTGCACTGATCTCTATTTGATTGTTTCTGCACTGATCTCTATTGGATTGTTTCTGCACAGATCTCTATTTGATTGTTTCTGCACAGATCTCTATTTGATTGTTTCTGCACTGATCTCTATTTCATCGTTTCTGCACTGATCTCTATTTGATTGTTTCTGCACTGATCTCTATTTGATTGTTTCTGCACTGATCTCTATTTGATTGTATCTGCACTGATCTCTATTTGATTGTTTTTGCACTGATCTCTATTTGATTGTTTCTGCACTGATTTCTATTTGATTGTTTCTGCACTGATCTCTATTTGATTGTTTTTGCACTGATCTCTATTTGATTGTTTTGCACTGATCTCTATTTGATTGTTTCTGCACTGATCTCTATTTGATTGTTTCTGCACTGATCTCTATTTGATTGTTTCTGCACTGATCTCTATTTGATTGTTTCTGCACTGATCTCTATTTGATGTTTTCTTTTATGATCTCTATTTAATTGTTTCTGCAATGATCTCTATTTGATTGTTTCTGCACTGATCTCAATTTGATTGTTTCTGCACTGATCTCTATTTGATTGTTTCTGCACTGATCTCTATTTGATTGTTTCTGCACCGATCTCTGTTTGATTGTTTCTGCACCGATCTCCATTTGATTGTTTCTGCACCGATCTCTATTTCATTGTTTTTGCACTGATCTCTATTTGATGGTTTTTGCACTGATCTCTATTTTATTGTTTCTGCACTGATTTCTATTTGATTGTTTCTGCCCTGATCTCTATTTGATTGTTTCTGCACTGATCTCTATTTGATTGTTTCTGCACTGATCTCTATTTGATTGTTTCTGCACTGATCTCTATTTGATTGTTTCTGCACTGATCTCTATTTGATGTTTTCTTTTATGATCTCTATTTGATTGTTTCTGCACTTATCTCTATTTAATTGTTTCTGTACTGATCTCTATTTGATCGTTTCTGCACTGATCTCTATTTGATTGTCTCTGCACCGATCTCTATTTGATTGTTTCTGCACTGATCTCTATTTGATTGTTTCTGCACTGATCTCTATTTGATTTTTTTCTTTTCTGATCTCTATTTGATTGTTTCTGCACTGATCTCTATTTAATTGTTTCTGTACTGATCTCTATTTGATCGTTTCTGCACTGATCTCTATTTGATTGTTTCTGCACCGATCTCTATTTGATTCTTTCTGCACTGATCTCTATTTGATTGTTTCTGCACTGATCTCTATTTGATTGTTTCTGCACTGATCTCTATTTGATTGTTTCTGCACTGACCTCTATGTGATTGTTTCTGCACCGATCTCTATTTGATCGTTTCTGCACTGATCTCTATTTGATTGTTTCTGCACTGATCTCTATTTGATTGTTTTTGCACTGATCTCTATTTTATTGTTTCTGCACCAATCTCTATTTGATCGTTTCTGCACTGATCTCTATTTGATTGTTTTTGCACTGATCTTTATTTGTTTCTGCACTGATCTCTACTTGATTGTTTCTGCACTGATCTATATTTGGTTGTTTTTGCTCTGATCTCTATGTTTTGTTACCTGGCCTTACAAAATCACCTTGAAACTTCTTCAATAGAGCAGCTTTGCTTGAGTGAGTGCCTTGCAGAGCTGCGTGGCTGTGGTGCTGTACAGGAGCACCCATACCAGTCAGGCACACAACGAGAGGCGAGACAGAGCGAGCTCCCCCTCCACCAACCCGCATTGACCGGTGCAGTGAAGTATGGTGAACCCCACCACCCCCACACCCGAGTCATGACCGACGCACCTAAACCACGTCACGTCACCTTGGTTACACTCTGGGAACCCGTGCTGCTCATAGCCGACAGGCAGTCATGCAGACACTCCCCTGCACTCCGACTGCACTGTAGGGCCCTACCCTGGCCTGCACGCAGCCAGATGAACCACACACATCACAGCGGCTGTTCAGCTCAGCGAGACAGTGAGCGGCTCGCAGGAGGAAGTGTGCGAGTTCAAATCCTGGTCATGGTCGAGCGCCGCTTTGCGGGGAAGATCCACAGTGGTCGTCCTGCGGAGAGACTCGCCCCCATCGTGGCAATGTGGAATTGCTACCACTGGCTCCACAGGCATCTGCATCCCCGAGATGTGCACAAATGTCTCGACGCCCATTTGAGCCGGAAGCCACCGGCGGAATGTAGTGGTCTCCTTTGAGCGTTAAGAGAACTCGTCGCAGCACGGCCGAGTCTCGGAGAAGGCGTTTTGTGTCTGAAACTTGGGGTCACAGCAACGTAGTCACAGCAGCAGTGGAGGGTGACTGTGACGGTCGAGGCGGCATGTCAGGGCACAACTGAAGCAAAGACCCCAAACTTTGTAACAGGACAAACTGGAGGCAGCAGCATTCCAGGACTGTAACGGATGTATGAGTGAGGGGATAGAGTGTGGGGGGAGAGTGAGAGGGGAGTGCCGCTAGGTGCCGATTGTACAAGTTAAATCAAAGTTTCACCTTGCATTGATAACGCCACATTGATTGCAGCCACTTTACTTCTGCCATGAGACCCAACCTGAACCCAATCTGGCTGAGTCGCGGTTGGCTGCGTGGCTGGGTGGCTGGGGGTTGGGTGGCTGATAGGGTGGCAGGGTGGCTGAGCGGCTGGCTGAGTCGCTGGGTGGCTAGTGGTCAGGTGGCTGATAGGGTGGCAGGGTGGCTGAGCGGCTGGCTGAGTCGCTGGGTGGCTGGGTGGCTAGTGGTCGGGTGGCTGGGTGCTAGGGTGGCTGAGTGGCTGGCTGGCTGAGTCGCTGGAGGCTGGGTGGTGGGTAACAGGCTGCTAGGGTGGCTTAGCAGCTGGAGGGCTGAGTGGCTGGGTGGTGGATGTCTGGGTGGCTCAGTTGCTGGAGGCCACGTTCTGAGTGGCTAGTGGCTGGGCTCTGGGGTGGCAGGGTGGCCGAGTGGCTGGGTGGTGGATGGCTGGGTGCCGGCTGGCTGGGTGCCAACTGACTGGGTGCTTGTTGGCCGAGTGCCTTTCTCTGGATTGCAAGTCTGTGGATTGCAGTGCATTCACCATTATATGTACCACTGTGGCAGTTCTTCCTTTAATTCTGTCAGAAACCTCGCAGCCTATATAATCAAATAGCACCCATAGCAGAGGCCATCCTGGTCAAAGAGTAGCAAATTCCTGTGCCAGCCGGAAGCAGGAACTAAGTACTGTACCGTAAATTAGCATAGCAAACCCCAGGGCACAGAGTCCAACAGGCTCCATCAACACAGAGCCCGTCACCCAAAGTTACCCCCCTCCACCCACCCCCCCCCCCCCCCCCCCCCGAGTCTGGGCTCGGCATCGCAGCTCCGTGGGAGAAATGCGCGCCGAGTCCCAACAGCCGCATGCATTGGCCACGGGTAGTACGTGATTTCGGAAACCGTGTTCGTAGCTATCATCAAGTGCAACGTTGACGGTGCCGGTTTGTTGCTGGCCGCTCGGGTGTTTTGTGTACATTTGGGCCTGCACTCAGCAACTGTGTGTTTAATATGAAACAACAACGAAAAGTCACCAAAAGTTTCTTTTTCACTGGTGCCAGCCCAAAGGGGTTAGCGGTACACTCTCAGATGGGAAGACAAGATTTTATATAATAATAAATACATACAAACCTAATGCGTCATTCATGCAAATTGCATTTCGCAATCACTCCTAATTGAAAGTTATCTGACCACAGGCCCAATTGTTCTAAACGTCAAGCAGCCTGCAACAAACAGCACATTGGGTGAAGGGTGTGATAGACAAGAGTGAGCGAGTGTTTTTGAACCGAGCGAGGTGACAATAAGGGACTGGGATAAAGGGACAACGAGGGAAGGGAATTCCAGAGATTGGCACCGCGGTGCCAAACCGGACAACCCCACAGGCTCGGGCTCCGCTCGCCGGGAACCAGCGGCGGCGGCGGCGGCGAGGGTGCGTGCCGGGCCGGTCCTCACCAGCACGCGGTGCTCCACGCGGTCGGCACGCAGTTCCAGCTTCACCCTCCTCTTCAGGCCGATCTTCACGCGGCCCATCACCTCCTTGACGCTGTCTGCGGGGGCGCAACACAACCAGGGTACGGTCACCGCCACTGCAGGCGCCTCTGGCGACAAGTCGCCATCGTTGCAGTCCACCAATCGTCAGGGTTTGTGAGTTCAACTACCGGCTAGGGGGGTTGCCTCGGCCCATCATCCATCCCTCCGGGGTCAACAAAATAAGTACCACTTTGTAGTGAAGTGAAAAGTGGTTGTCCTTTGGATATACCTCATCCCGCCATAGGAATGTAGAATTTCCACCACCGGCTTTACAACGCTAAAAATAGGAAATAACCACCATCTAAATGCTCATTTGAGCAGCAGGAAATATCTCGGACTCGACTGTAATCACCACCAATGTAATCACCACGGCTGTAATCACCACCATCACAACATTCCAGAGCACGCACGAATTATCCCCTCTGGGGTCAAAGGACTACAACTCTCAACATGGCCAGGGAGGAGAGGCCATAGGGAGAGAAGAGAGAGTGTGGGCAGGGACGCGAGGTCATGGCCAGGTAAGAGAGGGAATGGCAAGGTAAGAGAGGGCATGGCCAGGTAAGAGAGGGCATGGCCAGGTAAGAGAGGGCATGGCCAGGTAAGAGAGGGCATGGCCAGGTAAGAGAGGGCATGGCCAGGTAAGAGAGAGTGTGGGCAGAGAAGAGAGGGCATGGCAAGGTAAGAGAGGGCATGGCAAGGTAAGAGAGGGCATGGCTAGGTAAGAGAGGGCATGGCCAGGTAAGAGAGGGCATGGCCAGGTAAGAGAGGGCATGGCCAGGTAAGAGAGGGCATGGCCAGGTAAGAGAGGGCATGGCCAGGTAAGAGAGGGCATGGCCAGGTAAGAGAGGGCATGGCAAGGTAAGAGAGGGCATGGCCAGGTAAGAGAGGGCATGGCCAGGTAAGAGAGGGCATGGCCAGGTAAGAGAGGGCATGGCCAGGTAAGAGAGGGCATGGCCAGGTAAGAGAGAGTGTGGGCAGAGAAGAGAGGCAATGGGCAGGCAAGAGAGGGCATGGGATATAATAGGCAGATGAGGGAGAGCATGCTGCTGCTGCTGATGATGACACAGGATAATGACTGGCGTGGATGTGGAGAATCACAAAGCTGACGATCCCGCCTCCTTCCCACACGAACATATTTAAAAGCAGATTAAACATATCCCATCAGCCGCACGTCTTTCTGGGAGTGCACAATTTCGTCACCAGCACCGATTCAAGCGAGCCTGACTGCTGAGACACTGAATGTCTAAATCGTGCCAGTGTTAAACCAATGCTGCCGAAGTGATACACTCCCGCACAGGCCGCGTGGCTGATGGGATGTGTAAGAATAAAAACACGTTTGCGTTTAGTGCGGAGGGCCGCCCTTGTGGAGGTGGCGGATTGCCTGACGATTGTGATACAAAGGTGGCGAGGGGCGCCCCTGACCACGGCCACGAGCACGTGGGTGATGGGTGACGATGGTGTCGATATCACGAGTTGGCCAAATCATCCTCGATGCGCCCGACGTCGCATCTCGGAAGAGCAGGTGACGACGAGGGGAGGTGACGACGAGGGGAGGTGACGAGGCGGGGAGGTGATGAGGAGGGGAGGTGACGAGGAGGGGAGGTGACGAGTGGGGGCGGGGGGGCAGGCGGGGGGGGGGATAATGAGATGAGAGAAGTGGTGGTTGGTGGTTATGTTGATGGTGTTGACGATTACGACTCTGATATTGATAACGGCAATGTTGATAAGGTACAGGATGACAATGGTGCGATGCCCATAATTATCATCGTCATGGTGTGATGATGACAGTGGCGGTGGCGATAATGATGATGTTGATAACGATGACGCAATTTTATTTCCGATTAGAATGATTTGATTGATGATGATAGTGATGGTGGGTGGCGATGTTGTACGTCGATGACGGTGGTGTGGTTACGATGGCCGGTGATGGTTGTGGATCATTGCGGACCTGCGAGCTCGGGAGGGATGTCCGTCGCCTCGTCTGCCATGCTGCCCTCGTCTCGCCGATGATGATGCTGCTGCTGCTGATCTGCCGATGCTGCTGCTTGCTGCTGATGGCGTCAACAAGAAGGCGAGGGGGGACGGCGCGGACGAAGCGGAGACTGCGCCTGGAACAGCAGCGGAGACTGCGGGAGCGCGGAGGGGGGCAGAGATAGGGAGGAGAGAGAGGGGGAGGAGGGGGAGGAGAGAGAGGGGGAGGAGGGGGTGGAGAGAGAGGGGGAGGAGGGGGAGGAGAGATAGGGAGGAGAGAGAGGGGGAGGAAGGGGTGGAGAGAGGGGGAGGAGAGAGAGGGGGAGGAGGGGAAGGAGAGAGATAGGGAGGAGAGAGGGGGTGGAGAGAGGGGGAGGAGAGAGGGGATCAATGAGGGAGGGGCGAGAGATGAGGGTTGAGAGGGGAGGAGACAGGCGATGAGGGTGCAGAGAGAGAGAGGTGAGACGAGGGAGGTGACAGGAATGAGGGAGGGGAGAGAGGTAAGGGAGGAGAGTAGAGAGTGGGCAGGAGAGAGGAACGGGACAATTGGGTGGAGGAGGGCGGGTAGCTGAGAGCGAGAGAGAGGACAGCTGCCGGAAATCCTGGGGCATCACGAATCTTGCTCCGTCAAACTCGTCGCTATCAGAATCCCATTACGGCTGTGTCCGCTCCACTTTGAGCGTGTTTCTCTCTCCTCGTGCCGCTCAGTGTCTCCTTGTCCCCTGCTACTCTCCTTGCGCCTCTCGCGTCTTCTCATCTCTCTGCTGTCTTTGTCTCCCTGTGTGTCTCTCCCTGTTGTGTGTGTGAGACTGTCTGCTCAGTCACAGCACCAACACTGTGTTGTCTCGTGTCTCTGTGTGCGCGGGAGTGGAGCGATTAGCGCGCTGCGCTACGAACCCGGCGATCCGAGTTAGATTCCCGCTCACGGCCATCATCCGTGACGATTAGCTGGGCATCCCCTAGGTAGACTCAGCCTAAAATGAGTACCTAGTGCGGCGTGTAAAAGCATTGCCACTAGGGAGACAAAGGCGGCCGGGCGTGGTGTTGGCCACCCACCCCCTCGTGTGCCGTGCCGGCCTTCATAGGTGCTCACTAACAGCACTTGCCCAAACAGTCTGCGAAGGCTACACGGGGGATCTTTGTCTTTTGAGGCTGCGCAGTGAGCTGAGCAGAGCCACAGGAGGCGTGTGGCTCTGCGTGAGCTACACGTGGCGTGTGCGCGCGCCCAGTGGACATTCAGTGGAGAGGGGCATTGAGTGGACGTCCACCCGAGTGATAGGCCACATTCACACACTGTAGCTGTCAAGCCACACCGTTTACCCCGTATCCTTGTACAGGTGCAATGACTCTCGGACGATACGAACTGTAGAGGGATTTTTTTATTTTGATTAGGGGCGCTTCACGCAGATAACTTGGGCCAGGGGTGACACGCAAATAATGCCGATGCGAAGACGGCGGCGGCGTGAAGACGGCGGCGGCGTAAAGATGGCGACGATCCCGATCCCACGGCAGCCCCGAATCTTGTTCTTAGCCTCCTTTTATCCCCCGGCGTGGCCCTCACTCCGCCCCTGGCCACGCCCCTTTTTCGAACTCTGGCCTGTTCCCGAACTTCCCTGGCAATTCCCCTTTGTGAAAACTCTCCCTCTATTATTTATCAACCCTGTAATTTCTGCTCGTGATCGCTAGTCCATGCGCTGTCTCCACACACGCAGTCTCCACACACACGCTGTCTCTACACAGGGACTTTTTAGGTCCATACGGCGTACAGCCGTTTAAATTTGGGCAACAAAAACTAGTTTGTCTATTTGTGTGTGTTTCTCTTTTGTGATGGGACTTTGTAGGATGAACGTTGAGATTTATAAGGGCACGGGGTGACCAGTAAGATCTGAACTGGTCTGTAACAAGGTAGGGCACTGATAAGGGGTTGACAGGCATGCCTTCGTGACATTCAAGAAGGTGAATGTCACGAAGGCATGCCACTGGTTTGTCACGTGGGGCATGCAATCCAGAGACTGGTCCCCAGATAAATTCCATCTAAATTAGAAACATAACTTTAAAGTTTACCAGGTCCGGCCCACTGAGCTGTGGAACTCTTCTTCAGACGCGACCTGGCCACCAACGATAGCCCGACCAAGTGTCTCATCATCGTGTGGACATCGATCACAGCCCGACCAAGTGTCTCATCATCGCGTGGACATCTATCACAGCCTGACCAAGTGTCTCATCATCGTGTGGACATCGATCACAGCCCGACCAAGTGTCTCATCATCGCGTGGACATCTATCACAGCCCGACCAAGTGTCTCATCATCGCGTGGACATCTATCACAGCCCGACCAAGTGTCTCATCATCGTGTGGACATCGATCACAGCCCGACCAAGTGTCTCATCATCGCGTGGACATCTATCACAGCCCGATGAAGTGTCTCATCATCGTATGGACATCTATCACAGCCCGACCAAGTGTCTCATCATCGCGTGGACATCTATCACAGCCCGACCAAGTGTCTCATCATCGTGTGGACATCTATCACAGCCCGACCAAGTGTCTCATCATCGTGTGGACATCGATCACAGCCCGACCAAGTGTCTCATCATCGTGTGGACATCGATCACAGCCCGACCAAGTGTCTCATCATCGCGTGGACATCTATCACAGCCCGATGAAGTGTCTCATCATCGCGTGGACATCTATCACAGCCCGACCAAGTGTCTCATCATCGTGTGGACATCGATCACAGCCCGACCAAGTGTCTCATCATCGTGTGGACATCTATCACAGCCCGATGAAGTGTCTCATCATCGCGTGGACATCTATCACAGCCCGACCAAGTGTCTCATCATCGTGTGGACATCTATCACAGCCCGATGAAGTGTCTCATCATCGCGTGGACATCTATCACAGCCCGACCAAGTGTCTCATCATCGTGTGGACATCGATCACAGCCCGACCAAGTGTCTCATCATCGCGTGGACATCTATCACAGCCCGACCAAGTGTCTCATCATCGTGTGGACATCTATCACAGCCCGACCAAGTGTCTCATCATCGCGTGGACATCTATCACAGCCCAACCAAGTGTCTCATCATCGTGTGGACATCTATCACAGCCCGACCAAGTGTCTCATCATCGCGTGGACATCTATCACAGCCCAACCAAGTGTCTCATCATCGTGTGGACATCTATCACAGCCCGACCAAGTGTCTCATCATCGTGTGGACATCTATCACAGCCTGACCAAGTGTCTCATCATCGTGTGGACATCTATCGCAGCCAAATGCTCTAAACGCTCTAAACGCGCGTCGATTCTACATGTGGAGGGGGAAATTTCGGAGGAACCGGTGAAAAATCCACGCAACCACGGGGAGAGAGAGAGAGAGACGCGCACTCGAATTATACAGCAGGCGTCATGGCCCGGGATCGAACCCACGACCTCCTGTATACCAGGCGAGGTCATTAACATCTCCGAGCCATCGTGCGCCGCCGCCGCTGCTGCCTCTGTCCAAGCCAGTAGCGGTGTAAATTTGAGGTTCCGTGATGATGGTGTCAATTGGCTTCAACAGCCGATCGGCAATAGCAAGGGACCTTTTTTTTTGCCACTAACAAAGTATGAAAAATAAGAATAGGTTTTATCCGTTCAGCCAATAAAACAAGAGGTGTTAAGATGTGAAAATACCAAATAGAAACCTTTTTGCAAGCAATCACGTCTGAATCAACCACAAACAGTACTTGTGGTAAAACATGCGAGCAAAACATGGTCTGATAAAGGAATCCATTGTCCTTGATACCGACTGGCCTACACATGCAAGTGTGGGTACTCCCACCTCCCTTCCAAGACGTCTTGCTGGCCGTGTAAGGAGATGGGTGGGGGGCTCCCCCCCACCGAGGCCCTTCCGCCAGCAGTGGTCGCGAGCGAGGCGTTGCAAGGGGTCTGCGTGTGCTCCTTTACCTTCTAAGCAGCGAGAGGCGAGGGCCACAACAAATGTGGCCACGTGGTGAGTCGGGGCTGCCCGTGCGGTCTGTGTCCGTTCGGGCGAGTCCATGGGTGGGAGCCCTCAGGGGCAAGTGCTGTGAGCGAGCATCTATTAACGCTCAACTATTGTTTTTATTTTACGAGGTAAGGCCCGCTTGAGCTGTGTAGTTATTTGTTCAGAAGCGACCTGGCTATCACAAATGATAGGTCACACGAAGTGGGATTATCGTCGTGTGGAGATTCATAAGCAGCCAAATACTCTAAGCACGTGGTGTTCATTCTAAATGTGGAGCAAAAAACCGGAGGACGCGGAGGGAAAATCCACGCGACCACGGGGAGAGAGACACCGCAAACTCCAAATATACAGCAGGCGTCGTCAGGGTCGGGATAGAACCCACGACCTCCTGTAGACCAGGCGAGGTAGTTAACATCTCCTATCCACCGCGATGATGATGGTGAGAGAGACACGCCAACTCCAAATATACAGCAGGTGTCGTCAGGGTCGGGATAGAACCCACGACCTCCTGTATACCAGGCGAGGTAGTTAACATCTCCTATCCACCGCGATGACGATGGTGAGAGACACCGCAAACTCCAAATATACAGCAGGCGTCGTCAGGGTCGGGATAGAACCCACGACCTCCTGTAGACCAGGCGAGGTAGTTAACATCTCCTATCCACCGCGATGACGATGGTGAGAGACACCGCAAACTCCAAATATACAGCAGGCGTCGTCAGGGTCGGGATAGAACCCACGACCTCCTGTATACCAGGCGAGGTAGTTAACATCTCCTATCCACCGCGATGATGATGGTGAGAGAGACACGCCAACTCCAAATATACAGCAGGTGTCGTCAGGGTCGGGATAGAACCCACGACCTCCTGTAGACCAGGCGAGGTAGTTAACATCTCCTATCCACCGCGATGACGATGGTGAGAGACACCGCAAACTCCAAATATACAGCAGGCGTCGTCAGGGTCGGGATAGAACCCACGACCTTCTGTAGACCAGGCGAGGTAGTTAACATCTCCTATCCACCGCGATGACGATGGTGAGAGACACCGCAAACTCCAAATATACAGCAGGCGTCGTCAGGGTCGGGATAGAACCCACGACCTTCTGTAGACCAGGCGAGGTAGTTAACATCTCCTATCCACCGCGATGACGATGGTGAGAGAGAGACACCGCAAACTCCAAATATACCGCAGGCGGCGTCAGGGTCGGGATGGAACCCACGGCCTCCTGTATACCAAGCGAGGTAGTTAACATCTCCTAGCCACCGTGGTGCCGTGTTAAGGCTGACGCGGCGTGCTAGCTGGGTGTGGCCAACACCACGTCCGGCCACCATGGTTTACACTGCACCTGCTACTGTACTCGCAGGAGTCTGAGTTGACCTAGGGGATGGACAGAGAGCGCGTCAGATGTCCATGGATGTTGAAGGCGAGTGGACATCAAACTCAGGATACCGGGTATATAGGGCAGTAGTGCCAACCACTGCGCCACCGCTCCCCACTTGTATACACACACTTATACACGTGTCATCACACAAGACACACACGTGTCATCACACAAGACACATACACACTTGTCATGACACAAGACACATAAACACGTACACGCAGACATGGCTTTATGAAAGTCGATTTAATTCAAAGGAAACAAATACATGTCACTTGTAAACACATCAACTCCAGGACTCGCCTCTCCATTGAGTCACATATATACCTGGTCATTCATGAACAAGCGTACCTGCCATCGCATTAAAGATTCCCCCTATATCACCTTTAACAGACTGTTAGGGCAAGTGCTGTTAGCGAGCAGCACCTAAGAAGGCGGGCACGGCACTCAAGGAGGTGGGTGGCCATCACCACCCCCGGTCGCCTTTGTCTCCCCAGTGGCGATGTTTGCACATCGCACCAGCTACTGATTTGAGGCTGAGTCGACCTCGGGGAGGCCCAGGACCGGTTTGGATAATCGTCACCGGTGTTGGCCGTGAGCGGGAATCGAACTCTGGACGCCGGGTTTGCGGCATGCTAACCGCTGCACCACCACTCTCCACATTGCATCGCACACCTGTCCAGTGACACGTGACATCCAGCATCACACTAACAAGCCTCGTCAGACATATACTTTTTTCAGAAACAGTGGTATACCTAGATTTGAAGCTTTCGTGACTGCAAGGATTCATACTCTTTGTTTTTTTTGGTAAAGTCACGTAGGTAAAATAAAATAAATGAAAACAACTAAAGAGTAGTGGTATACCTATTTAGACGTGCGTACGTACATACCTATCAAGACCCGCGCTATCATTTGGTATGCAGAGTGCAGTACAGTAACTAAATAAACCGATGTTGGCACTCCCAGTGCCACACACACTGCGGAGGCCAGGAACGATGAGACTGGGTCCACACCCCTCACCCAGCTCACCTCCTCCACTCCATTTACATCTGGCTGGCACATCTCAGCCGTGCCAGCAGGTCGAGGCTAGCACGCTTACGGGTGGTTTTCCCACTGGTATTTTACTTAGCCGGGAAATCAAGCCGCCGCTACGGCTGGCTCCGCAAAAGGGGACGTCTGAATCTGGCTCGGGGCCAAGCAGGGACAGGGGTGGGGCTCGCGAAGCCTTCCGTTCGTCAAAAGTCGCCCGCACACGCAACTCGACCAACGCCGTGCAGTCGTCGGCGCGGGACGTCAACGGCATGGACCCCGGGGCTCGTGCGGTGGAAAAGCAACGCGCGTTTTCCCTGAAGCGCGCCACGCGGTCTCGGCGCGGCTCGGATGCGCCCGTGGAAAAGCGTCGCCTAGCGGATGGCGCGCGCAGTCCCGTTCACCGTGCGGGCGAAGGGGTCGCTGGGACTTGAACCGCGCGAGCTCTTCAAACGCAATTTGCCGGCGCAACCTCAACGCGGGCACGTGGAGGCCACTCCCCGGGACCGCGCGAGAGCCCCTTGCGATGGCTGAGTCGCGCTCAAATCGGAAAAGGCGTTTTGCCAGATTGAACACATTCCCCTCCGGTGCACGATCAGTGCTGCCGACGAGCTCGCGGGGGCAGTTGGGTCAGCGGCATAGCAAGCTGCTCGCAGAAACCGGGAGATTGCAAAGTGGGTGGGGGGCGGGGGGGATAAAATAAGTACTATATCGCGGGAAAAATCGGCGGTGGTTGTCGTCCGGACAAGCTTAGCCCACACATGACGGACGCGTGTCGCCCCGCGGCCCACGCGCGCGCGTTCCCCTAACCTCGACCCACGTCTGCGAGCGACCGGAGCGATCGCCCGGGCGCTGCGTTGAGATCGGCGGAGCGGCGAGGCCCGGGGCGAAACGAGACGGCGAAGTCCTGGAACTCAGCTCACGCGAGCGGGCGCCGTGGGGGCGGGCCGCTGCCTCGTGAGACCGGGAGAGGCTGCGGCGTGGGGAGGCCGTCACCCGGCAGCGGATCGGCCGCGGCCGAAGCTGATCGCGATGGCGGCGGCCCCCCGTCATATCGGCCGCGGAGCCGGAGCGGAGAGCGTGGCCCCCCCATGCGGGTCGCTCCGCGCGGCTCGCCGCGTCGCCTTCTCGTCGGCCGCGGCGCTTGACGGCGGGGTTCCCGCGTAGTTCCGTCTAGACGGAGCCGTCGCTGTCAGCGGTGCTGCTGTCGTTCGCCCCGCCTGCGGGACACGCGCGCACGCGAATGTCGTTCGGAATAGTTAATAACAAGCCACAAACTCGAGACTTGCAAAATGCTGGAAAGATTTAAAAATGTTGAACTCGAGACGTCCAGCACCGCAGTGGCTCAATCCACAACGACGCCAGTGATGGTTCTGTGCCGTGTGAGTTCATCGTCCGGTTAGGACCCGTGTCTAGGGCCCTTGCCTATAGACACCTGGCAGCTTGACTCTGCTGAAGAGATGATGAATGTTGCGGCTGGTTCAGAGTTTGCTTGTGTTGAACCAATGCTGCTGCAACGATCCACTCCGAGGAGTGTGAAACGTCATTGTTGGAGTATGTTGTGCTGTCTGCGTCTTTGTTGTGTGACCCACACGGTGCAGTGCATGATAGGTGTGAGCGGAGGGTGTCAATGGGAGGGAGTGGAGTAGGAGTGGGAGGCGGTGAGTGTAGGGGCGAGTGGCAGGGTGAGTGGCAGGGTGAGTCGTAGGGTGAGTTTAGGGGCGGGTGGCAGGGTGAGTGGCAGGGTAAGTGTAGGGCGATTGTAGGGGTGAGTCGCAGGGTGAGTGTAGGGCGAGTGGCAGGGTGAGTGTATGGGTAAGTGTATGGGTGAGTGGCAGGGTGGGTGTAGGAGCAAGTGGTAGGGTGAGTGGCAGGGTGAGTGGCAGGGTGAGTGGCAGGGTGAGTGTATGGGTGAGTGGAGGGGTGAGTGGCAGGGTGGGTGTAGGAGCGAGTGGCAGGGTGAGTGGCAGGGTGAGTGGCAGGGTGAGTGGAGGGGTGAGTGGCAGGGTGAGTGTAGGAGCGAGTGGCACGGTGAGTGGCAGGGTGAGTGGCAGGGTGAGTGGCAGGGTGAGTGGCAGGGTGAGTGGAGGGATGAGTTGAGGGGTGAGTGGCAGGGTGAGTAGCAGGGTGAGTGTAAGGGTAAGTGGAGGGGTGAGTGGCAGGATGGGTGTAGGAGCGAGTGGCAGGGTGAGTGTATGGGTGAGTGTATGGGTGAGTGGAGGGGTGAGTGTATGGGTGAGTGGTAGGGTGAGTGGCAGGGTGAGTGTATGGGTGAGTGGCAGGGTGAGTGTATGGGTGAGTGGCAGGGTGAGTGTATGGGTGAGTGTATGGGTGAGTGTATGGGTGAGTGGCAGGGTGAGTGGCAGGGTGAGTGTATGGGTGAGTGGCAGGGTGAGTAGCAGGGTGAGTGGCAGGGTGAGTGTATGGGTGAGTGGCAGGGTGAGTAGCAGGGTGAGTGGCAGGGTGAGTGTATGGGTGAGTGGCAGGGTGAGGGAAGCGAGGGTACACACGGAGGGAGGTGAGGCGCTGGATCTGGGCCTCCAGGGCGACCGTGTGGCAGCCCTGCAGGAAGGCCTCCGCGTACTGGAAGAGGCTGAGGAGGCCGGGCCGTGGTGCCGCGCAGGCCAAACCGTCCACCATGTAGGCCACAGCGTCCCTGCACGCTGCTCACATGGAATCGATGGCGGGAATCAACGCGGCAGCGGCATCGGTGATCGATTCAGCAGCGAGGATCGGTGCGCCAATAGAGCAGCCTGGTGCCGATTATACAAGCGTTGGTGGCTCCTCTCCTCTGCTGGGGACATTGGGGTGGCCCCCAACCTAAACATTTGCTAAAGACACTGCTGCACGTCAGTGCGCCTGCGCGTGATGTTTTGTTCCGATTTCTCGTCGCTCCGTTGCCGTCATTTACATTGCCGTTGTCATCTTGGTAACCCAGGCCACACAACACGACAGCTACACACCCACTGCACTACAGCTACACACCCAGTGCACTACAGCTACACACCCAGTGCACTACAGCTACACACCCAGTGCACTACAGCTACACACCCACTGCACTACAGCCACACACCCACTGCACTACAGCCACACACCCACTGCACTGCAGCTGCACACCCACTGCACTACAGCCACACACCCACTGCACTACAGCCACACACCCACTGCACTACAGCCACACACCCACTGCACTACAGCTACACACCCACTGCACTACAGCCACACACCCACTGCACTGCAGCCACACACCCACTGCACTACAGCTACACACCCACTGCACTACAGCCACACACCCACTGCACTACAGCTACACACCCACTGCACTACAGCCACACACCCACTGCACTACAGCCACACACCCACTGCACTGCAGCTGCACACCCACTGCACTACAGCCACACACCCACTGCACTACAGCCACACACCCACTGCACTACAGCCACACACCCACTGCACTACAGCTACACACCCACTGCACTGCAGCTACACACCCACTGCACTGCAGCTACACACCCACTGCACTACAGCTACACACCCACTGCACTACAGCCACACACCCACTGCACTACAGCTACACACCCACTGCACTACAGCCACACACCCACTGCACTACAGCTACACACCCACTGCACTACAGCTACACACCCAGTGCACTACAGCTACACACCCACTGCACTACAGTCACACACCCACTGCACTACAGCCACACACCCACTGCACTACAGCCACACACCCACTGCACTACAGCTACACACCCACTGCACTACAGCTACACACCCAGTGCACTACAGCTACACACCCACTGCACTACAGCCACACACCCACTGCACTACAGCCACACACCCACTGCACTGCAGCTGCACACCCACTGCACTACAGCCACACACCCACTGCACTACAGCCACACACCCACTGCACTACAGCCACACACCCACTGCACTACAGCTACACACCCACTGCACTACAGCCACACACCCACTGCACTGCAGCTACACACCCACTGCACTGCAGCTACACACCCAGTGCACTACAGCCACACACCCACTGCACTACAGCCACACACCCACTGCACTACAGCCACACACCCACTGCACTACAGCTACACACCCACTGCACTACAGCTACACACCCACTGCACTACAGCCACACACCCACTGCACTGCAGCTACACACCCACTGCACTGCAGCTACACACCCACTGCACTACAGCTACACACCCACTGCACTACAGCCACACACCCACTGCACTACAGCTACACACCCACTGCACTACAGCCACACACCCACTGCACTACAGCTACACACCCACTGCACTACAGCTACACACCCAGTGCACTACAGCTACACACCCACTGCACTACAGTCACACACCCACTGCACTACAGCCACACACCCACTGCACTACAGCCACACACCCACTGCACTACAGCTACACACCCACTGCACTACAGCTACCCACCCAGTGCACTACAGCTACACACCCACTGTACTACAGCTACACACCCACTGTACTACAGCTACACACCCACTGCACTACAGCTACACACCCACTGCACTACAGCTACACACCCACTGCACTACAGCTACACACCCAGTGCACTACAGCTACACACCCACTGCACTACAGCTACACACCCACTGCACTACAGCTACACACCCAGTGCACTACAGCTACACACCCAGTGCACTACAGCTACACACCCACTGCACTACAGCTACACACCCACTGCACTACAGCTACACATCTACAGCACTACAGCTACACACCCACTGCACTACAGCTACACACCCACTGCACTACAGCTACACACCCACTGCACTACAGCTACACACCCACTGCACTACAGCTACACACCCACCGCACTACAGCTACACACCCACCACACTACAGCTACACTCCCACTGTATTACAGCTACACACCCACTGTACTACAGCTACACACCCACTGCACTACAGCTACACACCCACTGTACTACAGCTACACACCCACTGTACTACAGCTACACACCCACTGCACTACAGCTACACACCCACTGCACTGCAGCTACACACCCAGTGCACTACAGCTACACACCCACTGCACTACAGCTACACAGCCACTGCACTACAGCTACACACCCACTGCACTACAGCTACACACCCACCGCACTACAGCTACACACCCACTGCACTACAGCTACACACCCACTGCACTACAGCTACACACCCACTGCACTACAGCTACACATCTACAGCACTACAGCTACACACCCACTGCACTACAGCTACACAGCCACTGCACTACAGCTACACACCCACTGCACTACAGCTACACACCCACCGCACTACAGCTACACACCCACTGCACTACAGCTACACACCCAGTGCACTACAGCTACACACCCAGTGCACTACAGCTACACACCCACTGCACTACAGCTACACACCCACTGCACTACAGCTACACACCCAGTGCACTACAGCTACACACCCACTGCACTACAGCTACACACCCACCGCACTACAGCTACACACCCACTGCACTACAGCTACACACCCAGTGCACTACAGCTACACACCCAGTGCACTACAGCTACACACCCACTGCACTACAGCTACACACCCACTGCACTACAGCTACACACCCACTGCACTACAGCCACACACCCACTGCACTACAGCTACACACCCACTGCACTACAGCTACACACCCACAGCTTTGTGCTCCCCACTGCACTACAACCGGAACCCTTACACTGTTCAATCAGCTGCTCACTCACACACTCATGTATGGATCCATCCATCCAGCTGTTCATCTATTTACTCACTTTCCCACTCACTTTCCCACCCACTCACCTACCACCTCTTACAAATGAGACTATATCCTGGTATCTTGAGTTCTCACTTGCTCAAGCAAAAATAAACTTTGAACTCACACCTACTCACCCACTTATCCACTTATCCACTCATCCACCCACTCAATCACCTACCGACCAAACCACCTCAATCGCCCAGTCACCCAATCATTCACTCAATTCTTGCACATGGAGACTCCGGTCCTCGTCCCTCGAGTTCTCTCACCGTGCAGCTAAACGTGATCCTTGCCGTGATTCGTAGGAGCGGGGGGGCGATCCTGTCAAGGCTCCCGTCATGGTGGCGCCTCCCGTCACTCGTCACCTGCCCCGTCACCCGTCACCTGCCCTGTCACTCGTCACCTGCCCAGTCACTCGTCACCTGCCCCGTCACTCGTCACCTGCCCCGTCACTCGTCACCTGCCCCGTCACTCGTCACCTGCCCAGTCACTCGTCACCTGCCCCGTCACTCGTCACCTGCCCCGTCACTCGTCACCTGCCCCGTCACTCGTCACCTGCCCCGTCACTCGTTACCTGCCCTGTCACCCGTCACCTGCCCAGTCACTCGTCACCTGCCCCGTCACTCGTTACCTGCCCCGTCACTCGTCACCTGCCCCGTCACTCGTCACCTGCCCCGTCACTCGTCACCTGCCCAGTCACTCGTCACCTGCCCCGTCACTCGTTACCTGCCCCGTCACTCGTTACCTGCCCAGTCACTCGTCACCTGCCCTGTCACTCGTCACCTGCCCTGTCACTCGTCACCTGCCCCGTCACTCGTCACCTGCCCTGTCACTCGTCACCTGCCCCGTCACTCGTCACCTGCCCAGTCACTCGTTACCTGCCCCGTCACTCGTCACCTGCCCCGTCACTCGTCACCTGCCCCGTCACTCGTCACCTGCCCTGTCACTCGTCACCTGCCCCATCACTCGTCACCTGCCCCGTTACCTGCCCCGTCACTCGTTACCTGCCCCGTCACCCGTCACCTGCCCCGTCACTCGTCACCTGCCCCGTCACTCGTCACCTGCCCCGTCACTCGTCACCTGCCCCGTCACCCGTCACCTGCCCTGTCACTCGTCACCTGCCCCGTCACTCGTTACCTGCCCAGTCACTCGTTACCTGCCCAGTCACTCGTCACCTGCCCCGTCACTCGTTACCTGCCCCGTCACTCGTTACCTGCCCCGTCACTCGTCACCTGCCCCGTCACTCGTCACCTGCCCAGTCACTCGTCACCTGCCCCGTCACTCGTCACCTGCCCCGTCACTCGTTACCTGCCCCGTCACTCGTCACCTGCCCAGTCACTCGTCACCTGCCCCGTCACTCGTCACCTGCCCAGTCACTCGTTACCTGCCCTGTCACTCGTCACCTGCCCCGTCACTCGTCACCTGCCCAGTCACTCGTCACCTGCCCCGTCACTCGTTACCTGCCCCGCTTCCCGCGGGCTTGTCCAGCCGGCGGAGGAGCCGCTCCGTGGGGATGAGGTAGAGGCAGCGTCCAGAGTCGCAGCAGCAGCAGTCGTCCCAGAATGACAGCAGCCACGGCCTGGCCTTGAGCTCCGGGTAAACTACAACGGGAAATGCGGGAACCCGTTAAACACTCCGGACACTGTGGGAGTGAACGAGCGTGTGCGTGAATGTGTGAGCGTGTGAGCGTGTGAGCGTGAGTCACCGCTACACTATAAATCCACTACACGCCACGCCAGTGACGTATATCTGACACGGTTGTGAGCCTCCGCTAGGTCTAATCAGTGCTGGTGCGATGCGTAAACATCACCACTAGGGCGACAAAGGCATCCGAGCGTAATGCTAGACACGCACCCCCTCGTGTTCCGTGTCGGACTTTATAGGTGCTCGCTAACAGCACTTGTCCCAACGGTCTGTTAAGGCTATACGGGGGATCTTTGTCTTTTTTACGTGCGTGGGTGAATGGCGGCGGTGCTCGGCGTGCGTGGTGTGCGTCAGGTACCGTGGGCGGCCTGCGTGGCGGGGCGCGTGCCGTCGCGCCCGCTGAGCTCGGCCACCTTCCTCAGCACCGGCGCCTGGGCGAGCAGCTTGCGGACCACGGGGTCCTCGTTGTAGCCCAGCTGCCGGCACAGTTCCAGCCTCTGCGGCGCGGCGAGAGTCAAGAGAGCGGCCGGCTCGGATCACAGAGAACAGAAATCCGTCAGGGTTTCGCGCGGACACAGAATATCTAACGGAGGGGGTCCTTGTCTATCTGCAATTTCCCAGCGTCGGTTTAAAGGCAGCCCATTGCTGCTGACGAGACGAATGAATGTCAAAAAAACGGACGAAGAGCTCGCTTGCGTGGATCCAGCGCCGCTGAACAAACACGCTCACGCTCGGCCGTGCGGACAACGAGACACGTCATTTTTTCGTTCAACGCGGAATTTCCGCAGTTGCCCTTCGCGGTGCCGTTGAGCGGCCCGACCGTCCGCGACGCCGGCCCCTGGCGGCCGAGGGAGAGAAGCGCGGCGGCGTTGCTCACCAGGAGGAGCCGCAGGCACGCGCGCAGGTGCTCCGCCAGCGCCGCGTCCAGGAGCTCGTCGCCGGTCGTCACGGGGACGGGGCTGGGCTCGCGGCTCGCGCCCATGCCCACGTCCTCGGTGGTGCCGCTGCCGCTGCCGCCGCCGCCGCCGCCACCCAGGCCGCCGCTGATCGAGCTGCGGCGCTTCTCGTGAGGCCTGCACCGCCGCGTGAGCCAGGCCGTTAACGTCGGTTTGACCGGCCCCAGGGGCGGCGGTCGCAGAGAAACGTCGGCGCGGCGCGAAGGGAGACGCCGCCGCCACCACCGCGGTGGTGGAGGTGGTGGTGGAATGGTGTAGCGGTGCGCCATATCTCGACGTGGCAGTGGGACCAGCAATCACCCCGGGAGATGGAATCAAACCGGTGATTTCTGGATTGCGATTCCAGGTGTGCGAGCGGGGGTGGTGCCGCGCTAGCGGGGGCGGTGCCGCGCTAGCGGGGGTGGTGCCGTGCGAGTGGGGGGTGGTGCCGTGCGAGTGGGGGGTGGTGCCGCTCACCCTCGGTTGTCCCCGCACTCGGACCGCTCTCCATCAGAGATGTCCAGGAAGTCGAAGCTGCCCAAGGCGCTCTCCACCGTGAGACTCCCGCTCGACTCGTGGCTCTTCAGAAATCGGCCCTTCTACAAGACAAAGACAAAAATTTCCACGTCGCCTTAACAGACTGTTGGGGCAACTGCTGTTCGCGAGCACCTATGAAGGCCGGCACGGCACACAGTGGGGGTGGCTGGCCAACATCACACCCGGTGGCCTTTGTCTCCCCAGTGGTGATGTTTACACACCGCACCAGGTACTCATTTGAGGTTGAGTCGACCTAGGGGAAGCCCAGGACCGGTTCATATAAATGTTAATGGTGAGCAGGAATCTCACTTGGGTGAGCGTGCTAACAACTTCTCTATTGCTCCCCACACACACGCGCGTAGTGGTGGGAATACGATTGCAGCCGACGCTCGCTGCTATTCCCCTTCTGCGGAGACATCGTAGCGCAGCGATAGGAGCAGTAGTTTCATTCAGTCTCACTTTGTGCTTCACTGCTGCATGTGTCCGGCCACTGTACAAAGTCTCCATGCTATGTGACGGTACAAACAGCTGTTCCCATCTGGAGAAGTTCCTGGCGTTCGGGAAGACGCCGCTCACTCGCAAACATTACGAACATCGTCGCAGCGGCTCGCACGGAGCGGGCGCTGCGATCGGTATCGCAGAGCGCAGCGAACGGCGAGCGAGACCTGTGTGGCGTCCAGGAGGGAGAGAAACGCCGTCGCCATCTCCTCCAAGTCCTCCAGGCCGTGTCGGGTCGAGCGGGCCTCCAGCGCGACGCTCAGCTCCCTCGCGGCCTCGTCCAGGCCCGGCCCCGTCGCCGCGCAGTCGACCGCGGCCGACCCCTCCTCGCACGCCGTGCCGCATCCCCGCGCGGGCCCCGCGCGGCCGCCCCCGGTCGTCCGCGGCGGACGGGCGACGCCCTGGACGACCGCTACGGATGCGTCGCCCGCCGGGGCTTCCCGGCGCCCGGGCGACGCCGGCCCGGAGAAGGGAAGCGTCTTGCGAGCGGTCGTGACCGCGGACGGCGGGCGAGCCGGCTTCGTGGGGGACCACGGGGGCGAGGAGGGGTCGCGCGGCGAGGACGGGTGGCGGGACGAGCCGAGCGACGGCGCGGGGCTGTCCAGCGAGTCGGAGAACACGGAGGAGGCATCGTCCGTCGGGTAGAACTCCTCCTGCCCGACGCAAACGCGCTCATCAGCAGTGCACGGCCGCGCGGCCCGACGCCGCTGCGGGAGTGGGGTCAGGCGGCAACGCCTGTGCACTGAGAAGGTGGGAGGCGTGCGGGTGGCTGAGGTGGGGATGACACTGGGGCCTGCTTTATTTTCTAACACTTTTGCTGAGCGCAGGTCCACAAAGGCCTAAAAAGGTCAAAGGGCCAGCAAGAACCAGGGCTCTGAAAGTTGTCAAGACTCGGCCATCAGCCGCATCAACCGCCTGGCTGTTTGTCGTCACCCATCGCCCAGCTGTTGTCCGCGCCCTTCGAGAGTCGGTGAGTGAGAGTGTGCGACGAGCAACGACTTCACGTGCCCCGGCACAGATTCCTACGTCTCTGCCGTGTCACCTCCTTGACGCTCTTATACCGACAATCGCCGGAACGTAAGGTCTATGATGCCAATGTTATTCTGAATGGAGTATATACGCACCCAATATTAACCGGGGCTTGATAACCTTAAATTATTGCCTTTCGTGCACTGGTTGCCTTATAATTAATCATCATGTTGTCCATTGGGTGATGCCTTATTTCCCTAAACTATGAGTTAAGTCATTTGTGGAACAGTATCAAATATTCTTTGGACCGAGTGTCAGTTGCTTATTTGATTACTAGTACTCTCATTTTAAAAAATATTACTAAACACTTAAATTCTCTCTGTGTGTGTGACCCATCACGTTCCATACGAGATATTGAAGAATCTGGACAATACGGCCAGTTTCTGTCATTGTTTAAAAAAAAATCACACCCTAGACAAATCAAACATTAAAATAAATGACATATGCTTTCCGGAACGACAGGGGAGGGAGATAAATACATTGTCGAAGCCTCGATTCCCTTTTGCAAGCTCCTACGAAGGGGAATGAAGACGCCAAAAGATATAAAGGGCTCGGTGAACTTGGCCACGAACAATGCGAAAGTGGCGATCTGCAGGGCCAGAAAATGTGTAATTTGAAGGAAATGGCACATCAAGGCGCTATCGCATCCTCAAGCCCCTGGCTACTGCCAGAATTCGGCCGGAATTTGGCTACGCTCAGTCCTTTTTGACGCGTTGGGCTGCAGAGGGTTGCTCTCCGTGCGATGCGACTGATGGAGGGGATTTGGCAACGGGTAACAAAAACAGAAAATACGCACGGTGCGATCCGGCGCAAAGTGCATTGTGTAATTCGGCATTCGCCGGGACACCGCTCTAAAGGCTGCATCAGTTTGGCGATCGGCAAACACATGGTTCTTGTGTTGAAACAAGAGCGTAGTAACTACGTACATCACCCCATGCAGAATCTTTGAGATTGGACTGGTAAGTGCGGTACAGTGAATTCAGTAACGTTTTACAGTAGGGAATATTTGTATGTTTATTCAAGCGCATTTCATTTCGGAAACAATTTTAGAACACGAAAAAAAACATACACAACACCTACAAAGATGTTATACAAGAATGTACAAAAAGAAGCGATTTTAAATGACGATTAGTGATTATCCGGCGTTTTTGAAAATCCGGCGCCCCCATCCCCCCCGAAGCCGCCGGGTAATCGATGATCAACTGTATGTTGATAATCAATGATCTACTGTACGTTATATTTCTTGTATTAACAAACAAAAGGCCATAAATGCCAAAAATGAAATAGCAAAATAAACACGCAATGAACAAAGCGAAGTGCCGAATAACCGTGCATTTCTTTGGCTTGCTCCTTCCTATCCAACAAAAACAACAACATTAGGGAGGGAAGGAGGGAGGGAGGTGGGAGCTCACAAAGAAGGCTTGGTCGGGCGTGCTGGGCGTGCTGGGGGAGCCGGGCACCGTCCGGTGCGACGAGGAGGCGCTGGGGGTGCGGCGGTGGCCGCTCACGGAGCCGAGGCGAGACAGCGGCTCCTCGCGCTCCAACGCTCTGCGGCAGCGGCACGCACGCACGCAGGCACGCGTCTTCGAGTCGCGCGGACACCGTGGGCGAGGGGGTTCACTTTGTCCCTCGCATTAGGAATTGCGGGGCGCGTATAATGCATTGACTTTTTTAATCTTAATTGTAAACGACTGAAAATAAATTGAAGGAGGCCAGTTTGGGCCTCCCCCCCAAACTCCGCCCATGGCAGCAGACACATATGAGCACGTGGGTGATGTCTGCGTGGGGGACCGCGCAAGCGAGCGTGCAGGAGCCTCGGCACGCGATAGAAACTGCGTAAGCTGAGGCCATCATCATCGCTCCGGCTCCGTACGGGAGTGAAGCGTCGGGGAGTTCGGAGAGAACTCGGGGGCGGTTGGGTCACTTGTCAATGTCAACATAATAAAATTACCGGAATGCAACATTAATTTCAATAACATTGACACTGATGACAAACCTACATCTACTGAGCTCAGCCACAGACCGGCTCAAGCGCGTGGAGCGATGACTTCACGGCAGCCAAGTTGCATGGGGGGGGGTTATCTTCCTGCCAGCTGATTGGACGGTGCAGTGGTAGTGATGCTGTAATCAATAGCAACCGCCGCCACGCCCACGGCTTTGTGACGTCACCAGAACACCCGCAGTGCCTTTGAATTTTGATTTAATGTTCTCTTAAATGCTTCCGATACTACTACAATCGCTGCCCACGAGATTTTACGTGCGTGTGTTACGGCGTCACGGCCCGGTTGACCGCACCGTGTGGGTGACCATGCGTGTGTCCGGTCAGCTGGGGGCAGTCGTGCAGCGGTTAGCTCGTCGCGCTACGAACCTGCCGACCCGAATTCGATTCTCGCCACAGGGAGGCAAAGGCGGCCGGGGGTGGTGCTGACCACCCACCCCTTCGTGCGCCACATTGACCTTAACAGGTGCTCGATAACAGCACTTGCCCCAACAGTCTATTCAAGCCATACGGGGAATATTTGTCTTTGTGCGGTCAGAGGGAGCGGCGGTGCAGCGGTTAGGGCTCTACGCTGCGAACCCGGCGACCCGTGTTCGATTCCCGCTCATGACCAATGACGGTGGTGAATATTAGAACTGTGTTTGGGCCTCTCCTATGTGAACTCAGCCTTAAACGAGTAACCGGTTTTGATGTGTAAAACATCCGCTGTGGGGAGACAAAGGCGGCCAGGCATGGTGTTGTTCACCCACCTCTTCACAGGGGCTCATGAACAGCACTTGCCCCAACAGTCTGTTTAAGTCTATGCGAAGGATCCTTGTCTTTGTAGGGGGGATGATGCGTGTGGCTGTGTGAGTGACCAGGTGGCTGCGTGCGTGGCCGTGTGTGCGGCGCGCGTACAGCCAGCTGACGAGCAGCTGCAGCTTCACGGTGCCCAGCGGGTTGATGTTAATCTCCAGCTGCTGCTCGTCTTTGCGGTAGAGCTCTGTGGGCTCCAGGCTCACCTGCCCCACCAGCGTCTGCGTCACCAACCCCTTCAGTTCCACCACCTGCGGGGGCAACCACGCAGCATCAGCAGCAGCAGCCGCTAAGTGGCAGCGTTGTCACCGTGGCGCTTGTACCAGACTAGGTGCATTTTGAAGGCTCGCTGGCAGGAGGTCACGGGGCAGACCCAGGTGCCATGGGTGGACTGACTGAGATGACTGACAGATGCACCACCTGTGCTCCCCACTGTGTCAACTTGCTGTATTTTAGCCACGCGGAGCGCTCCGCTCGTTGTGAGCATTGCTCCTCCGCCCTTCACTTTTGTTGGAAGGCGACTGCCTCCAACTGCCCAGTAGCATCGTCCTTCACGAGCCTCCTCAACAGAGGCCGATCTTGACACCGCAGGTACCGGTCGTTGGCAAGTCCACTCAGCTCCACGTCCTCCTGTGCCACATCACTCCATCTCTTCTCCAGTCCAGACAAACTCTCACATGGCTATGCACGCCTACGCGCGCGTGCGTGACGCACCCAACATCATCGTTGCCGACGTCCGAATATCTGGGCCTTCGCTAGGTCAACCAATGCCGTGCCGTGAACGCCCTCACGGCTTTGCCCACCTTGACGACGATCGGCTCGCCGATGAGCGGCAGCAGCACGGTGCCGTCGCTCGACCAGCACTGCTCGCCCTCGGCCCCGATCCTCCCGCGCACCTTCCACCTCTGCCTCCCGTGACGCAGCGACACCTGCGGCAGCAACAGCCTCGTTAAGGGGGGGCAGGGGGGGCGTGGGGGTGGGGCAGCTGAGGTGGAGGGGGTTCGAGTGGCGGGGGTACTGGGAGACGGCTCGTTCGGCATCGCTCGGCACCGAATCAAAGTCTCGCGCGGTGTCATCGGGGATCTGGTCGGGAGGCGTGAGGTCACATCCGGGCCGTGGGGATTGCATTCAGCCCATCGCGCCTCTGGGGCCAACAGACCAGGTAAAACGACGTGGAAGAAGATCAATGGCGGTGATTGGCCTGTGGAGAGACTCGCCTCCTGCCTTCAGAAAGTGGAACTTCCACCGATGGCTCTGCAGGGGCTTAGGCAAGGTGAGCGCCGATGCCTCGACACTCACGCGGGCTGCAAGTTTGAGGCGACTCCTGAAATCACCGCAGAAGCACCGCGGCTTGTCGGACCTACGAAGCTGAGCAAGGTTGGGCCTGATTGGCAATTAGATGCGTGACCATCAGGACTAACATCCCAATGCAAGAAAAACAGTCTTTGGACTCAGAGGTTTTTATGGGTAAATTATTTCGATGCTAACCCTTATGCCTCATGTGCGTTTTGGAGTTTGCATGTTCTCCCCATTTTTCTATGGGTCCTCCGGTTTTTCCTTCTACATTTAGAATCGACATGTGTTTAATAAGAGTATCTGGCTGCTATAAATGTCCACATGATGATAAGGCACTTCGTTGAGCTATCACTCGTGGCCAGGTCGCTTCTGAACAAGAGCTCAGTGGGGCCTCAGCCGGTAAAATAAAAATAGTTGAGAGTTTATTAGAATTATTGTTGCGCTTGTTAACCCAGGGAAGCCTCGCTGAGCCTGCAGACTGCCGTGGTTCCAAAAACGTGGGACCGTGACGCCGGCACACGATGGCTTTAGTCTTCTTCGAAGGACCGACAGCTCGTGACTGGGAAGGCGGCCACGAGCTGCGACGACCCTCGGTGCGACTGCGGTGAGCAGAGCGACTCGCCGCTGCTGTTACTACGCCGATCGGACACCGCGCGCCCGGTAACGACAAGGCGTAGCGAACAGACAGCAGCGAAGGCCACAGAGAAGCGCCGGAGCGGTGCATGCTGGGAATTTACGTGGAGAGACGGGGAGAGAGGCACGCGGATTAGTGAGCACCGCACGCGGATTAGTCAACACCACACGATGATTAGTGAACACCGCACGATGATTAGTGAACACCGCACGATGATTAGTGAACACCGCACGATGATTAGTGAACACCGCACGCGGATTAGTGAACACCGCACGATGATTAGTGAACACCGCACGATGATTAGTGAACACCGCACGATTAGTGAACACCGCACGATGATTAGTGAACACCGCACGCGGATTAGTGAACACCGCACGATGATTAGTGAACACCGCACGATGATTAGTGAACACCGCACGATGATTAGTCCCAGAGGATGTCCGCAGAGGAAGATGGAGCGAAGATGAAATCAGTTTGTTGCATAGCATGGATCGTGGGAGGTGGTGGCGCCTTGGGCAGACCATCCAGCAGTGGATGGACCACGGCTTAATGATGCACACAGTGAACGCGGCAGCTGATCGTCGCGGGCTCACCTCGTAAGTGTCCTTGGGGCAGAGTCGCGCGAAGCCCACGAGGCCTGAAGAGAAACGGAACACGGACAGAGAGAGACAGCGAGCGAGCAAGAGCATGGGGCTCACACGCGACTCACAGAGACCGCGAGTACAGCGGTGAGCGCGGTGAAAGCGGTGGGTGTGGTGAGAGTGGTCAGGGCGGTTGGTGTGGTGAGGGTGGTGAGAGTGATGAGGGTGGTGAGCGTGGTGAGGGTGGTGAGAGCGGTGAGGGTGGTGAGAGCGGTGAGGGTGGTGAGCGTGGTGAGGGTAATGAGAGCAGTGGGTGTGGTAGATGGTGAGGGCGGTGGGGAGCTATGGGTGTGGTGAGGGTGGTGAGAGCGGATATCACGGAGCTAGCTCTGGTAGTTTTAATAACTGCGAGCGTTCAACAAACCTAGAATCTTCACGTGGAATTCTCCCAGGAAGTTCTCCATTTGGCCTTCAAGCTGAGCCATGGTCTGAGTTTGGTTGCACGCACGTGAAGACAAATGCACACACGCACACAGAAACACACACGCACGTGCAAACACGCACACACCACACACACGCGGTTACTGTTAGCGAGCACAAATCAAGGCCAAAACAGCGCCCGCAGGAGTGGTGTGGCTCGCACTGTCCCCCGTCACCTTTGTCTCCCCAGTGCTGATATTGAGGCACAGCTCTGAGGCCGAGTCGCCCTAGGGAGAGCCCCGGATGAGTTTTGAAACCAAGTCGCCACTGAGGTTTCCCACGGTCAGGAATCAAACTCGGGGGGAGAGGTTCATTGCCGAGCAGGAGGCTCACCCCCCCCACCCCCCCTAGCGCGAGGGTGCGTGCGTCAGGGCTGGACGTATCCGTATTTGTAAGTCCGTGTGGTTTGTGTCGGGGGGGGGGGGGGGATGGGGTGGTTATAGGGAGCGGTAATGTAGCGGTTAGCCCGTTTGATTCCTGCTCACGGCCAACACCGGTGACGATGATCTGAACCGGTCCTGGGCCTCCCCTAGGTCGACCCAGCCTGAAACGAGCACCTGGTGCGGCGTGCAAAGCAGATGGAGGCGGGCCGGGCGCCGGGCCGGGCGCCGTGCCGGCCACCCGCCACGTCGTGTGCCCCGTGCCGGCCCTCGCAGGTGCCCGCTAGCGGCACTTGCCCCCCGACGGTCTGCCAAGGCTACACGGCGGGGGGGGGGTCTTTGTGTAGCGCGTGCGTGAGAGGTGGGGGAAGGGGGGGGGGTACCTCGCAGCACTCGCGGGCGCTGCGCTGGGCGTGCGCGAGGGCGTCGCGCGCCCCGCGGGTCGAGGGGGAGCACGCCAACGCCCTGGTCAGGTTCTCGGCGCCGGCGTGGAGACGCGTCTGCACGGTGTGCTCCTCCTGCAGCGCCTCCACCTGCGCGCCCACCGTCGGGAGCGTCCGAGTTAAACGTCGATAGCGAGCGGTCGACGGGCGTCTTCCGCTCGCCGACAACCCTCGAGCGAGACAATTTCATCCGAGCGTCGGCGTCGTCGCCCTCCGCTGCACGATCGCAACATCGCGTCACCGTGAATGCCTCCGCCTGGAGGGAGCTTCGGTGGCGTCGTCGCCACAGCACCTCCTCTTAGCATGAGCAGCAACATCATCAAATCATCACGTCACATCACCTGTAACACCTCCAACTCACGTGACCCGGCCAACCATCAACATCATCGCCGCCATCGCCTATGCCTCCACGTTCATGGCCACGACAATCACAATCATCGCGGACATCACGATCAGCATCGTCGTCACCAGCGGCACCGCAAACATCACAACATCTCGGCGCCATCAATTCCTCCATCACACTTTCCCAAATATCCTGTCGAGGGGACCTTTGCCTTTGTAGGCGTGTGTAAGAGTGTGTGTGTCTACGTGTGTAAGAGTGTGTGTGTAAGAGTGTGTGTGTCTACGTGTGTAAGAGTGTGTGTGTCTACGTGTGTAAGAGTGTGTGTGTAAGTGTGTGTGTAAGAGTGTGTGTGTAAGAGTGTGTGTGTCTACGTGTGTAAGAGTGTGTGTGTCTACGTGTGTAAGAGTGTGTGTGTCTACGTGTGTAAGAGTGTGTGTGTCTACGTGTGTAAGAGTGAGTGTGTCTACGTGTGTTAGAGTGTGTTTGTCTATGTGTGTTAGAGTGAGTGTGTCTACGTGTGTTAGAGTGTGTTTGTCTATGTGTGTTAGAGTGAGTGTGTCTACGTGTGTAAGAGTGCGTGTGTCTACGTGTGTAAGAGTGTGTGTGTCGACGTGTGTTAGAGTGTGTGTGTCTACGTGTGTAAGAGTGTGTGTGTCTACGTGTGTTAGAGTGTGTGTCTACGTGTGTAAGAGTGTGTGTGTCTACGTGTGTAAGAGTGTGCGTGTCGGCGTGTGTAAGAGTGTGTGTGTCTACGTGTGTAAGAGTGTGTGTGTCTACGTGTGTAAGAGTGTGTGTGTCTACGTGTGTAAGAGTGTGTGTGTCTACGTGTGTAAGAGTGTGTGTGTCTACGTGTGTAAGAGTGTGTGTGTCTACGTGTGTAAGAGTGTGTGTGTCTACATGTGTAAGAGTGTGTGTGTCTACGTGTGTAAGAGAGTGTGTCGACGTGTGTAAGAGTGTGTGTGTCTACGTGTGTAAGAGTGTGTGTGTCTACGTGTGTAAGAGAGCGTGTGTCGGCGTGTGTAGGTGTATAAATGTGTGTGCGCAAGTCTGTGGGGAGTGATTGAGTGGCAGTTACAACGCTGCGCTATGAATCCGGCAACCCAAGTTCGATTCCCGCTCACGGCCAACACCAGCGAAGATCATCTGAACCAGTCCTGGGCCTCCCCAAGGTCGACTCATCCTCAAATGAGAACCTCGTGCAATGTGTAAACATCCCCACTACGGAGATCAAGGCGGCCGGGCGTGATATTTGGCTTTCATCCCCTTGAGTGCCGTTACATCCTTCATAAGTCCTCTCCAACGGCACTTGACCCAACGGCCTGTATAAGGCTACAAACGAGGATCATCTTTGTCTTTGTGTGCAGGTGTGCGGAGAGGTGTGGTCACCTTGCTCATGTGAAACTCCAGCCGCCGTAGGCTTCGCTCGTTGGCTTTAATTTGCTGGGAAAGAGATGCGGAAACGTCAGGGCCCCGTGTCTCCCGCACACCACGCGGAACAATGGCGCCTCGCGTCCCGCACGCGGCCCACGGCGCCACGCATCGCGACAGCGCCACAGAATAACGAGCGGACATTCTGTCCCATTCCCACATCTGTCCCTCCACATGTAGAAGAAAAAAACGAGCAGCGTTTTACAAATCCCATCAGCCACACGGCCTTCGGGGGAGCGCACATCAGGGGCGTTGGTTGAACGCACGCCAAAAACATAAACTCCGGACCGGATTCGACATCCAACGTCGTCACATCGGCGGCGGAGTCCAGCTTGAATCAACGACGTCTTACAGGCCAGGGTGTCTCCGCTGGACGTGGGCCGCAGTCTGGCTCTGCGACGCCAACGCGACAACCGTGTCCGGCCGAGTTAGCCCCTCGCTGGAGATCGTCCCGCGAGGGGTTCAAGATGTGGAAGAAGTCCGTTGTGATTGCCGAGGCATTGGGGCTTATAATCGCTTTTACAGTCCCCAAATCAGCGGTGGAAATTCCACATTCCTATCCGTATATGGGGGCCAGTGGCCAGATGTTAGCGACTTCGCCTGATATACAGGAGGTCGTAGGTTCGATCCTGACCCTGACACCTGCTGTATATTTGGAGTTTGTCTCTCTCTCCTCGTCGTCGTGTGGATTTTTCTCCGGGTCCTACGGTTTTTGTCTCCACATTTAGAATCAACGTCACGCGTTCCGAGTATTTGGCTGCAATAAATTTCCACGTGATAATAAGCCACTTCGTTGAGTTATCATTTGTGGCCAGGGCGCTTCTGAAAAAGAGCCATATAGCTCAGTGGGCCTTACCTGGTAAAATAAAAACATTTTTTTATGTTTGTTGAACTTCTTTTACACCATACGTAGCCAACTGTGCTAAGGTGGGCGTGATGGTCTATCCGTTGGACAACCGCAGTTGACTTCCCCCCACAATGATGATGATGAGTGAACCCCGCCCCCAACCTCCAAAGACGGGATGTGAGCTCCTGGCAAACCTTGAGATTGCGGTCTGCTCGCTCTACCGCTGGGCCCACCCCGGCCGGATCTACCGTGCGGGGGAGGGAGACGTGGACCGAGGCGATTTGCCTCTTTGTTTCTGTCAGTTCTTTCCCACGCAGGATGTGCGCGCGCGGCCATGGTGTCGTGCGCGATGAATCACCAACGCGGTCATGCCACCTGCTTGCTATGGCGCACGTGCGGCTTAAGCAGCGAATGATTTAAGGGGCCGTGCTTTAAGTGCGAATCAAATGCATCTCCTTACCTTGTCCAGCTCGTACAGCATTCCCTGAAAGATACAAACACGTCGTCGTCGTCGTTAATACGTAACCGCGGGGATGATGGTGATCTCATAATCACAATCGCATTTAGAATGCGCCCATATTGTAACGAAGCGTCTAGAGGATCACCTGCTGGCAGCTGTTCCTGTGTGGCACAAGGTGATTCAGCACCTGCGTGCCCAGTGGGCATTAGTCTGCCAGGAGGAGCCACCGAATGCTGTGGATTTTTCCAACTGAGCCATTTGGAAGTATTTTATTTATTTTAATACAAATTTGGATCGTGACGCCGGTACACAACGGCCTTCTCTTTTTGACGACCCTGTCACGGGGCCTTTAAATGTCCACTGTGAAGCAGACGGTTATATACCGTTAACTTGTTATATATACACACTGTAAACTTGTTATATATACACACTGTAAACTTGTTATATACACACTGTAAACTTGTTATATATACACTGTAAACTTGTTATATACACACTGTAAACTTGTTATATATACACACTGTAAACTTGTTATATACACACTGTAAACTTGTTATATATACTGTAAACTTGTTATATACACACTGTAAACTTGTTATATATACACACTGTAAACTTGTTATATATACACTGTAAACTTGTTATATATACACTGTAAACTTGTTATATATACACTGTAAACTTGTTATATATACTGTAAACTTGTTATATATACACTGTAAACTTGTTATATATACACTGTAAACATGTTATATACACACTGTAAACTTGTTATATACACTGTAAACTTGTTATATACACACTGTAAACTTGTTATATACACTGTAAACTTGTTATATACACACTGTAAACTTGTTATATATACACACTGTAAACTTGTTATATACACACTGTAAACTTGTTATATATACACTGTAAACTTGTTATATATACACTGTAAACTTGTTATATATACACACTGTAAACTTGTTATATACACACACTGTAAACTTGTTATATATACTGTAAACTTGTTATATATACACACTGTAAACTTGTTATATATACACTGTAAACTTGTTATATATACACTGTAAACTTGTTATATATACACACTGTAAACTTGTTATATATACTGTAAACTTGTTATATATACACTGTAAACTTGTTATATATACTGTAAACTTGTTATATACACTAAACTTGTTATATATACACACTGTAAACTTGTTATATACACACACTGTAAACTTGTTATATATACACACTGTAAACTTGTTATATATACTGTAAACTTGTTATATATACACTGTAAACTTGTTATATATACACTGTAAACATGTTATATACACACTGTAAACTTGTTATATACACTGTAAACTTGTTATATACACACTGTAAACTTGTTATATACACACTGTAAACTTGTTATATACACACTGTAAACTTGTTATATATACACACACTGTAAACTTGTTATATATACACTGTAAACTTGTTATATACTGTAAACTTGTTTTATATATACACTGTAAACTTGTTATATATACACTGTAAACTTGTTATATATACACTGTAAACTTGTTATATATACACTGTAAACTTGTTATATATACTGTAAACTTGTTATATATACACTGTAAACTTGTTATATATACACTGTAAACATGTTATATACACACTGTAAACTTGTTATATACACTGTAAACTTGTTATATACACACTGTAAACTTGTTATATACACACTGTAAACTTGTTATATATACACACTGTAAACTTGTTATATACACACTGTAAACTTGTTATATATACACTGTAAACTTGTTATATATACACTGTAAACATGTTATATACACACTGTAAACTTGTTATATACACTGTAAACTTGTTATATACACACTGTAAACTTGTTATATACACACTGTAAACTTGTTATATACACACTGTAAACTTGTTATATATACACACACTGTAAACTTGTTATATATACACTGTAAACTTGTTATATACTGTAAACTTGTTTTATATATACACTGTAAACTTGTTATATATACACTGTAAACTTGTTATATATACACTGTAAACTTGTTATATATACACTGTAAACTTGTTATATATACTGTAAACTTGTTATATATACACTGTAAACTTGTTATATATACACTGTAAACATGTTATATACACACTGTAAACTTGTTATATACACTGTAAACTTGTTATATACACACTGTAAACTTGTTATATACACACTGTAAACTTGTTATATATACACACTGTAAACTTGTTATATACACACTGTAAACTTGTTATATATACACTGTAAACTTGTTATATATACACTGTAAACTTGTTATATATACACACTGTAAACTTGTTATATACACACACTGTAAACTTGTTATATATACTGTAAACTTGTTATATATACACACTGTAAACTTGTTATATATACACTGTAAACTTGTTATATATACACTGTAAACTTGTTATATATACACACTGTAAACTTGTTATATACACTGTAAACTTGTTATATACACACTGTAAACTTGTTATATACACTGTAAACTTGTTATATACACACTGTAAACTTGTTATATACACACTGTAAACTTGTTATATATACACACTGTAAACTTGTTATATATACACACACTGTAAACTTGTTATATATACACTGTAAACTTGTTATATACTGTAAACTTGTTTTATATATACACTGTAAACTTGTTATATATACACTGTAAACTTGTTATATATACACTGTAAACTTGTTATATATACACTGTAAACTTGTTATATATACTGTAAACTTGTTATATATACACTGTAAACTTGTTATATATACACTGTAAACATGTTATATACACACTGTAAACTTGTTATATACACTGTAAACTTGTTATATACACACTGTAAACTTGTTATATACACACTGTAAACTTGTTATATATACACACTGTAAACTTGTTATATACACACTGTAAACTTGTTATATATACACTGTAAACTTGTTATATATACACTGTAAACATGTTATATACACACTGTAAACTTGTTATATACACACTGTAAACTTGTTATATACACACTGTAAACTTGTTATATATACACACACTGTAAACTTGTTATATATACACTGTAAACTTGTTATATACTGTAAACTTGTTTATATATACACTGTAAACTTGTTATATATACACTGTAAACTTGTTATATATACACTGTAAACTTGTTATATATACACTGTAAACTTGTTATATATACTGTAAACTTGTTATATATACACTGTAAACTTGTTATATATACACTGTAAACATGTTATATACACACTGTAAACTTGTTATATACACTGTAAACTTGTTATATACACACTGTAAACTTGTTATATATACACTGTAAACTTGTTATATACACACTGTAAACTTGTTATATACACACTGTAAACTTGTTATATATACACACTGTAAACTTGTTATATACACACTGTAAACTTGTTATATATACACTGTAAACTTGTTATATATACACTGTAAACTTGTTATATATACACACTGTAAACTTGTTATATACACACACTGTAAACTTGTTATATATACTGTAAACTTGTTATATATACACACTGTAAACTTGTTATATATACACTGTAAACTTGTTATATATACACTGTAAACTTGTTATATATACACACTGTAAACTTGTTATATACACTGTAAACTTGTTATATACACACTGTAAACTTGTTATATACACTGTAAACTTGTTATATACACACTGTAAACTTGTTATATACACACTGTAAACTTGTTATATATACACACTGTAAACTTGTTATATACACACTGTAAACTTGTTATATATACACTGTAAACTTGTTATATATACACTGTAAACTTGTTATATATACACACTGTAAACTTGTTATATACACACACTGTAAACTTGTTATATATACTGTAAACTTGTTATATACACACTGTAAACTTGTTATATATACACTGTAAACTTGTTATATATACACTGTAAACTTGTTATATATACACACTGTAAACTTGTTATATATACTGTAAACTTGTTATATATACACTGTAAACTTGTTATATATACTGTAAACTTGTTATATACACTAAACTTGTTATATATACACACTGTAAACTTGTTATATACACACACTGTAAACTTGTTATATATACACACTGTAAACTTGTTATATATACTGTAAACTTGTTATATACACACTGTAAACTTGTTATATATACACTGTAAACATGTTATATACACACTGTAAACTTGTTATATACACTGTAAACTTGTTATATACACACTGTAAACTTGTTATATACACACTGTAAACTTGTTATATACACACTGTAAACTTGTTATATATACACACACTGTAAACTTGTTATATATACACTGTAAACTTGTTATATACTGTAAACTTGTTTTATATATACACTGTGAACTTGTTTTATATATACACTGTAAACTTGTTATATATACACTGTAAACTTGTTATATATACACTATAAACTTGTTATATATACACTGTAAACTTGTTATATACACTGTAAACTTGTTATATATACACTGTAAACTTGTTATATATACACTGTAAACTTGTTATATATACACACTGTAAACTTGTTATATACACACTGTAAACTTGTTATATATACACTGTAAACTTGTTATATATACACTGTAAACTTGTTATATACACACTGTAAACTTGTTATATACATTGTAAACTTGTTATATATACACTGTAAACTTGTTATATATACTGTAAACTTGTTATATATACACACTGTAAACTTGTTATATATACACACACTGTAAACTTGTTATATATACACTGTAAACTTGTTATATATACACTGTAAACTTGTTATATATACACACTGTAAACTTGTTATATACACTGTAAACTTGTTATATATACACACTGTAAACTTGTTATATATACACACTGTAAACTTGTTATATACACACTGTAAACTTGTTATATATACACACTGTAAACTTGTTATATATACACACTGTAAACTTGTTATATATACACTGTAAACTTGTTATATATACACTGTAAACTTGTTATATATACACACTGTAAACTTGTTATATATACACACTGTAAACTTGTTATATACACACTGTAAACTTGTTATATATACACACTGTAAACTTGTTATATATACACACTGTAAACTTGTTATATATACACTGTAAACTTGTTATATATACACTGTAAACTTGTTATATATACACACTGTAAACTTGTTATATATACACTGTAAACTTGTTATATATACACACTGTAAACTTGTTATATATACACTGTAAACTTGTTATATATACTGTAAACTTGTTATATATACTGTAAACTTGTTATATATACACACTGTAAACTTGTTATATATACACTGTAAACTTACTATATATACACTGTAAACTTGTTATATATACTGTAAACTTGTTATACACACACTGTAAACTTATTATATATACTGTAAACTTGTTATATATACACACTGTAAACTTGTTATATATACACACTGTAAACTTGTTATATATACACACTGTAAACTTGTTATATATACACTGTAAACTTGTTATATAGACTGTAAACTTGTTATATATACACACTGTAAACTTGTTATATAGACTGTAAACTTGTTATATATATACACACTGTAAACTTGTTATATAGACTGTAAATTTGTTATATATACACTGTAAACTTGTTATATATACACTGTAAACTTGTTATATATACACTGTAAACTTGTTATATATACACTGTAAACTTGTTATATATACACACTGTAAACTTGTTATATATACTGTAAACTTGTTATATATACACACTGTAAACTTGTTATATACACACACTGTAAACTTGTTATACACACACTGTAAACTTGTTATATATACACTGTAAACTTGTTATATATACACTGTAAACTTGTTATATATACACTGTAAACTTGTTATATACACTGTAAACTTGTTATATATACTGTAAACTTGTTATATATACTGTAAACTTGTTATATACACTGTAAACTTGTTATATACACTGTAAACTTGTTATATATACACACTGTAAACTTGTTATATATACACACTGTAAACTTGTTATATACACACACTGTAAACTTGTTATATACACTGTAAACTTGTTATATATACACTGTAAACTTGTTATATATACACTGTAAACTTGTTATATACTGTAAACTTGTTTTATATATACACTGTAAACTTTTATATACACACACTGTAAACTTGTTATACACACTGTAAACTTGTTATATATACACACTGTAAACTTGTTATATATATACACTGTAAACTTGTTATATATACACTGTAAACTTGTTATATACACACACTGTAAACTTGTTATATATACACACTGTAAACTTGTTATATATACACACTGTAAACTTGTTATATATACACTGTAAACTTGTTATATATACACTGTAAACTTGTTATATACACACTGTAAACTTGTTATATATACACTGTAAACTTATTATATACACACTGTAAACTTGTTATATATACACTGTAAACTTGCTATATATGCAGTAAAATTGCTATATATCGTAAACTTGCTATATATGCAGTAAAATTGCTACAGTTATATACCCACGGTGTTTACCAGGGTGACCTGCTGGATCCGACCTGTGCACCTCTACAATAAGTGGCGAACACGATGGTCACAGTGACGATAGGGGCATGATGATGCTGATAGGTGGAGGTATCGTCATGGTGATGGATAGATGATTACAGATGTATGATGATGTTGAAATGGATGGAGGCATGATGATCGTGATGGTGATGGATGTGGTTGGATGATGATGACATTGATGACGACGATGATGACGGTGATAATGGCGACGATGCATTACCAGGCGGGAGTCTCTCTTGGTGCTGTTGATGGCAATGGTGAGGTCACGATGCTGTGCTTGGTACCAGGTGAGGTACTCCCTGAGGGATGAGAGTGAAGGTGCAGGTAGGGGGGGCAGTTAAGGGAGGGGCAGTCTCTGTGGGTGTTTGATAGTCACCTGAACATACATGGGGAGCGGTAGTGTAGCGGTTAGCGCGCTGCGCTACCAGCCTGGCGACCCGGGTTCGATTTCCGCTCATGGCCAACACCAGTAACGATTATCTGAACTGGTCCTGGGCCTCCCCTAGGTCGACTCAGCCTTAAATGAGTACCTGGTGCGATGTGCAAACATCGCTACTAGGGAGACAAAGGCGGCCAGGCGTGGTGTTGGCCACCCACCCCCTCGTGTGCCGTACCGGCATTTATAGGTACTCGCTAACAGCACTTTCCCCAACAGTCTGTTAAGGCTGTTAAGGCTACACGGGGGATCTTTTGTGTGTGTTCACAAAAACAACCCCCTACCTCCTCGTATTGCCGGACGGCAACGCTGCGGTGGGAAGTGTCATGGGGGGAGGGCCAATTTAGATTGGCCTTTCCCTTCATGGCGTTTGTAACCACTACAGCAGCCAAATGGGGGCTCTGGACGGGTGCGAGGGGCTGGTAACCCCTCCACCTTTAATTAACTTCCACAAAACTACGATGTAAAAAACTTGCTAAGCTTGTGCCGGAGGCCCCCGGGGGGACAGGCGTCTATGACGTCTCCTGGCCAAACCTCATTTGGCGGAGCCAGGAGACTGAATCCTTATCCTGGGGGCTCCTCCAGAAACAATATAAAGCCACTACGGATGGCCACGTGGAATGTTCGAACGCACACTATGGAGGAGAGGCTGCCACTGCTGTCGGGAGCTGAACCGGTACCACCTGGATCTCTGTGGTATTCAGGAGGTCTGGTGGACCGGCTCTGGCTCCTGCCTCCATGAGGGGTGGACAGTCCTCTACTCGGGGCAGGAGACTGCCAAACAACAGGGAGTGGCTCTTCTTCTGAACAAAAGAATGAAGGGGGTGTGGGAGCTTGGCGGTGAGGTGTGGGAAGACATGGGCCAGATTAGCTCAATAACAACGGTTGGAGTCTGCTCGATTTTTGTGCAGCCCATGGGCTTGTAATTACCAACACACTGTTCCGGCATCGGCACGTCCACACAACATCGTGGATGCATGCCGGGTCCAAGCAAGAAAATCTGCTGGACTACATAGTGATGGAACAGCGGATGTGGGCTCATGTCCCTGACACCAGGACCTACCGTGGAGCTGATCTGCCCACTGACTATCGACTTGTAATCTGTAAGATGCGTCTGCCATTTCCCCACTCCAGTGGTGGGTGTACACCCAGGACCCCATTCAAACCCATAGTGGCATGGCCTCAGCTAGCTGATGAAAGTTGCAAGCGAGAATTTCATCATCGCTTGTGGCTGGAGTTGGCATCGTCCCCCACTCCTCCTGATGTCGAGGGGAAATGGGCGAGGTTTAGGACTGTGGCTCATGCAGCTGCAATGGCTGCTTTGGGTATACAGTCCAGACCTCCTCAGAGACCCTGGCTAACAGAGGAGGTGTTCAGGCTGGCTGAGAAAAAGCGACAGGCCCACTCTAATCGTCTAAAGCATCCCACGTCAGAGAATGAGGAGCCGTGAGGCGCTGCAAGGATGAGGCGCTGCTGCTGAACCTGGAGCTGTCCACTAAGCACCTGCCTGGATATTTTGTACCATCGGACACTCCACCCCCACAACACCCAATTGGTGATAGGGCAGTTGTGGATAGAGTGGAGAGTTTCCCCATACCTGGGCAGTGTGCTCATGACCAGCTCTGGTTTGATAGCAGAGGTCTCACTCCGAATCAGTTGAGCGGAATTATCTTTTCATTGGTTGCGTAACACTGTGTGGAAGCTACCTGGTCTGTCACTCCGCACGAAGCTTCAGGTCTTCTGGGCCACAGTCATTCCCTCCCTTCTCTACGCTTACGAAACGTGGACCCCCCTAATGGAACATCTTCGCTGGTTAGAAACATTTAGGCTGGCCTGCCTACGATCCGTCCTGGGTTTAACCAGGCTGGATTGTGTGAGGAGCTCACATATCCTTGAAAGTTGTGTACAAAGTCCCGTCGGTGAGCTCCTCCGGCAGGCAAGGCTGCATTGGCTGGGTGATGTAGCCCGCATGCCCAGCTACCGCATGCCTAAACAGCTTTTGTTCGGCCGGATCGAGGGGGCTAAACGGGCGCGGCACGGGCTAGAGAAGAGATGGAGTGATGTGGTACAGGAGGACGTGGAGCTGAGTAGACTTGCCGATGACTGGTACCAGCGGTGTTAAGATCGGCCTCTGTGGAGGAGGCTCCTGAAGGACGCTACTGGGCAGTTGGAGGCAGTCGCCCTCCAACAACAACAACAGAGGGCGGAGGAGCGACGCTCACAACAACGAGCGGAGCGCCGGGTGGCTGAAGCACAGCAGGTTGGCACAGTAGGGGGCACAGGTGGTGCATCAGCCAGTCATATCAGTCATCTCAGTCAGTCGATCCGTGGCACCTGGGTCTGCCCCGTGACCTCCTGCCAGCGGGCGTTCGACACTTCACGTGGCCTCAAGGTGCACATGGCCTGGCACAAGCGTCGTGGTGACGTCACCGCCACGTAGTGGCGAATGGCGGTTGTTGTTGTTGTGTTCAGGTGTATTGTGTGTGTTCAGCCGTTTGTGTTCAGGTGAACGTATAGCGCGCTGCGCTTCGAACCCTGTGACCCGACTTAAGATTCCCGCTCACGGCCAAGACAAGTGGCGATTATCTGAACCTAGCCCTGGGCCTCCCCGAGGTCGACTCAGCCTCAAATGAGTACCTGGCGAGATGCATAAACATCGCCATTGGGGAGACAAAGGCGGCCGGGCGTTGGTGCTGGCCACCCATCCCCTCGTGCGCCGTGCCCGCTTTCGTAGGTGCTCGCGCTAACAGCACTTGCCCCTACAGCCTGCCAAGGCTACACGGTGGGGGAGGAGGAGGGAGTGAAAGTCGCTCACTGCAGTCCGGAGCGCAGTGCTCCCAGCGTCGTGCGGAACAGCTGCGGCTGAGCGGCGCGAGGGGGCGTGGCCGGGGGTGCGGAGCCGGGGGAGCCAATCCCGCGGCGCGCGCGCTCCGGGGAGCGACACGAGGACACGCGGGACCTGGGACACGGGGGGGGGGGACACGGGGGGGGGCACGGGGGGGGGCACGGGGGGGGGCACGGGGGGGGCACGGGGGGGGGGCACGGGGGGGGGCACGGGGGGGGGGACACGGGGGGGGGGGGACACGGGGGGGGGGGACACGGGGGGGGGGACACGGGGGGGGGGGACACGGGGGGGGGGGGACACGGGGGGGGGGGACATGGGGGGGGAACACGGGGGGGGGGACACGGGGGGGGGACACGGGGGGGGGCACGGGGGGGGGGGGACACGGGGGGGGGGGGACACGGGGGGGGGGGACACGGGGGGGGGACACGGGGGGGGGGACACGGGGGGGGGGACACGGGGGGGGGGACACGGGGGGGGGGACAGAGAAACAATGGGCACAAAGTCGGGCAACGGAGCCAGAGGCTGGGTCCAGAGACAAAGGAGACGAGGGTGGGACAAAGGCGGAGACAGATGTAGACAAGGGGTGCACCCCCAGGGACACGGCGAGACACGGGGACACATTGGTGATTTACATAGACAAAGGAGACGCACAGGCGCAGACTTCCTCCCCGCCACCCCGAACATCTGCGTGGTTATTGAGGAGCCCGAGGCTCCCGTCACAGGCCCGGAATGTTGTCTTTATTTCTGAACACATTTCACTTGAGCGGGGGGGGGCTCGAGGTGACGGCGCTGGGCTCCACTCCGCCGCCGCTCCGCTCGACAACCCGGGCCTGGGAGTCTAACAGGGGCCTGGGAGTTTAACCCGGGCCTGGGAGTCCAACACAGGCATGGGAGTCTAATCCGGGCCTGGGAGTCCAACACGGGCATGGGAGTCTAACCCGGGCCTGGGAGTCTAACCCGGGCCTGGGAGTCCAACCCGGGCCTGGGAGTCTAACACGGGCCTGGGAGTCTAACCCGGGCCTGGGAGTCCAACCCGGGCCTGGGAGTCTAACCCGGGACTGGGAGTCCAACACGGGCCTGGGAGTCTAACCCGGGCCTGGGAGTCTAACCCGGGCCTGGGAGTCTAACACGGGCCTGGGAGTTTAACCCGGGCCTGGGAGTCCAACCCGGGCCTGGGAGTCCAACCCGGGCCTTGGAGTCTAACACGGGCCTGGGAGTCCAACACGGGACTGGGAGTCAAACCCGGGGACGCAGCTGCGTCGCGGTTTCCGCTGCAGGCGATGCAATCTCACAGATCGACAAACCACACGGGCGCAGGCTGCGGCCATGAGCCCAGAGTGAGACAACCTCGACAGCCAGGAGAGGAGGGGGGGTGAAGGAGGGGGGGGGGGGTCTCACCTGCCCGTGGAGTCCTGCTGACCCCTGAACCCATGGAAGGATCGACTCCTCGTCACCGCGGGGTGCAGCTTGTTTTGACCCCCAAGGGGCATGGTGACCTGGGGTGGTGTGGTAGGAAGAGAGGCCACACCCTTACTCACTTCCTCCTTGCGACAGCCTCACCCAGCACTCCTCCCTGACGCCACCCTTCTGATGTCCCCATCCTCGCTGAGTTTCTGCCTCAACGTCCCAGCAGCCTCCCAATCTTCCCCGTCACCCACTCACCCAGTCTCCCTCCCTCCCCGCCTGCCAGGTCGCCTCTGAAAAATAAGTTAATAGCTAAGTGGGATTTGCCTGGTAGGATGGGGATGGTTTAGCTTCATTTGTTTGTGTTTGGCTGATTTGTTTATTAAGCTTGCTTGTACTTTGCACTACTATTGTGTGTTTGTACTGTTTGTGTTATCACGTTCTTACCCCCCCCCCCCCCCCCCACTGTCCGGACATCTGTGAAAAAGAGCTTGATAGCTCATGGGATTCCTCCAGTATGAATAAACATCCTAAGTGTTAGTTGAAGCCGCCACCCAGACATGAGCGTGGTGGTCGAGACCCGACGCGAGTTTTATTTATTTTTCTCCCTGCACGAACCTCGCACGCTCGCAACACGCAAGCGCTGCCACAAACACCACCACCACCTCCACCACCTCCTCCACCACCACCACCACCCCCACCACCACCACCCCCCACACCCCCCACCACCACCCCCCCCCCACCACCCCCCACCACCCCCCCACCACCACCACCACCCCCACCCCCACCCCCCCACCGCCCCCCACCCCCCCCCCCCCCCCCACCCCCCACCCCCCCCCACCCCACCCCCCACCACCACCACCCCCACCACCCCCCCCCCCACCCCCACCACCACCCCCACCCCCACCACCCCCACCACCACCCCCACCACCACCACCCCCACCACCAGCACCACCACCCCCCACCACCACTCTCCGGTCTCGTGGAAATAAATCTGCCGAGCCGCCCAGACGCAGGAAAGCGATGATTCCCATCTACAGCCGCCTGAGCGTGACTCAATGGGCCCCCACCCCGGCTCAAGTTGAGACGCGGCGGGCCACTCCGGGCTTCTGGCTTCTGGCTTCGTCAGCGGCAGGACGCCGGCAACAACCACAGGGCGCCACCTCCACTCGCCCTCTGGCCTGCGCCGTGCCGCGCGAACTCCCTACTCAGTCCACGGACTCGGAATGCCGCGGCAAACGACCACGGTGCCAATTTCAGACTCTCAGGACGCGGCGCTTGGGATTCAGGAAAAACGGTTACCGGTTTATGGGATAACGGTTTAACTTCACTCAGGATGGAGGAGGGAATATGGAGGGGGAAGGGAGATGAGTGAGGGGGGGGGGGGGGGACGTTGCCTACTCTGCACCAGCAGTGGTTCAATCGAGCCGCCACATTCACTCTGCCGAATGGAGACAGCGAACGTTGAAGCTGGCCCAGAGTTTTGCTTGTGCTCGACAAATTGCTGCTGATTTCATGCACTCCCAGAAGGCCACGTCGACTGACGAGACGTGCAAAGACAATGCTTGACTTCTGTCCGTGAAGGCGGGGAGGCATAACGTGCCCAGCTGGCTTGCCTTGCGCTGCCGCCTGCCCTCTGTGCCCCAAAGCGCATCGTACCCCGACTCTCGCGAGTGACATCGACGATGCCATCATCACCCTACCTTGTGGTTTAGGGTGAGCACCCACGCTCTATTCCACCCGCTCGTAATCGTCAAGTCAGCGTGTGCGGCAGGGTGGCGCTGGAGAGGTCACACCCGTGTCTCACCCAACCCCGGGTGGAGTCTCTAGGTTTCTCCCCCCCTCCCTCACTTTTGTGGACGGGGTTTTATCCTCCAGATTCTCCGGGGGTTTTCCCCCCGCGGGCCGCAATAACACCGTCCAACGTAACAACTGGAATCGGCCAAAAAAAACATCGCAAGGCTGACAGGCGAAACAACAAAAATCACCCGCATATTTATAACTCGATTGGGATAACGCTGCACCAGCAACATTGACACATCGCACCCAGCTACTAGGGAGAGAGAGAGACCCAAGTGAGACTTCCCCGAGGGCACGAACACAACCGTCGGTGAAACTGCCGAGGGAGCGAGAGACGAAGCGCGCGGAGCTGGGGGCTGGGTGGCGTTAGAAGTCACGGAGTGGTTTATTTTACTTTCCCCGGGAAAGAAAAATAAATCTTCCAATGAGTTCAGTGGACACCTCCGGCGCGGTAGCGACCACGCGTCGTGCGCGTGGTCGCCTCTGTGATGTGTACAGAAGGAACGCGCCAACTAACAGTCGGCTCGGTTGTTCGGCACTTTGCTTCGTTAAACGCGTCGGGTTTTTTTGTTTGTTAATACAAGAAATGTGACGGAGTCGATCATCGATCATCCAGCGGCTACGCGGTGGTTGAGGAAGGGGCGGGCACCGGATTTTCAAAATAATTATTTAGTCACTGACCATTTAATTACCGACTAAATAAATAAATCACTATTTAACATGGCTAACTTTTTGCACATTTTTGCATAATGTTATGTTTTTAGATGTTCTGCGTATGTTTTTTTGGTTTTAAATGTGGTTTGCTCTGTGAAATTGGCATAAATACAATATACAAATATTCCCTGAGACTCTGTATGGGGGCTATGTAAGCGTAGATCTTAACCCATATGGTTTACCTTTACAGGTAACCCATATAGGTTACCTGTACAGGTAAACCATACCTGTATATATGGTTTACCTGTACAGGTAACCCATATATATGGTTTACCTGTACAGGGAAATTGAGTTTTTACATCCATACAGCTGTTTCAATACGAGTCAAAAAATGTATATTTGTTTGTCTTTCTCCCTTGTGATGGGACTTTGTAGGATGAATGTTGAGATTTATAAGGGGCACGGGGTGACCAGTAAGGTCTGCATTGATCTGTAATAAGGTAGGCAGCACTGATAAGGGATTGACAGGTAGTAACTAGATTCTGGTGGCAACAGCCATCATGGGTGTTTGACGATCACTGGGTCACAGCCTTTGGAGCAGTTTTGCCGGTTTCGTCGGATAATCGATGATCAATTGTCATACTTGTCAACCCCTTATCAGTGCTCACCTTATTACAGACCAATTCAGACCTGATTAGTCATCCCGTGACCTTATAAATCTCAACGTTCATCCTACAAAGTCCCATCACAAGGGGAAAAACACAAACAAATAGACAAACTATGTTTTGTTGCCCGTATTGAAACGGCTGTGCGCCGTCTGGACCTCAAAACTCAATTTCCCTGCACAAGAATACTGGTAAACCATATGGGTTGACAGCTATGAATTGTATTTATGTTTGTGCCACGATAATTATCATCATTATTAAAAGCTGAGTACAGAACGCGATTACGGGGAAATCACCACCACCACGCTTCGTGCTGACAGCAATTGGCGACCACGCGTGGAACCACGCGACCCGCTGCAACAAATGGTGGCTTCAAGATCCGATTTCTATAAATAGGGATATTATTCAGGCGTGCATCGTTTCGTTGAACGCAAGCAAAACTCCGGAGCAGCTGTGTGTAACAACGTCAGGCTAAGTGTTGTGTTCGGTGATGTTGCAGAAGCTCGCGACTCTTTTTCAAGAAGGCGCCCCTGGTGGTGTGAGATCGCGCCCCTCTTGATGGGTCCTTGTTACACCAGTCTCAAAACAAATGTCCCATGGTGGAGCTGCTCACCCCGAGCTATAAAATGCCCTGATGGTGCATTGCCCTTGCACTGTTCGCCGTTTGGCGGCGTTCTCTGGTCTGACACTTGCTACAAAATCCCGGCGACCCGAATTCGATTCCCGATCACGGCCAACGCCAGTGACGATTATCCGAACAGGTCTTGGGCCTCCCCTATGTCGACTCAGCCTCAAATGAGTAGCTGGGTGCGATGTGTAAAAAAAACATCGTCGCCCGGGAGACGAAGGCGGCCGGGCGGTGGTGTTTGACCACCCACCCCCTCGTGTGCCCTGCCGGCCTTCATAGGCGCTGCTCGCTAACAGCACTTGCCCCTACAATCTGTGAAGGCTACTCCGGGACGGGGGATCTTTGTCTCACCTTGTGAGAGAGGCGTGGGAGGAGAGGCGCTGGGGCGACTCGATCGGCGCTGACTGCGAAAGAGAAGGGGGACTCCAAGACTCTGGAACCAAACCCCAACAGCGTGACCGCGCCCCGTCCGGCCACAATTCCCCACCCCCCCACCCCCTCACTCCCTCCCGCCGCACCCCCCTCGCCATGCGGTCAGCGCTCGGCGTTGCGAGTGAACGCCGCCACGCCTGCACAAAGCCCCCCCCCCCCTCCCCACGTGTAGCCTGTACAGCAGACTGTTGGGGTAAGTGGAGTTTGCGAGCACCTATAAAGGCCGGCACGGCGCACACACGGACATACCACGCAAACAACAATCGCCACTCCGTGGCGGCGATGTCACCACGACGCTTGTGCCAGGCTTGGTGCACTTTGAGGCCACGTGAAGTGTCAAAGGCTCGCTGGCAGGAGGTCACGGGACAGACCCAGGTGTCATGGGTCGACTGACTGAGATGACTGGCTGATGCACCACCTTTGCCCCCCACTGTGCCAGCTCGCTGTGTTTCAGACGCCGAGCGCTCCGCTCGTTGTGAGCATCGCTCCTCTGGCCCTCCGTTATTGGAGGGCGACTGTCTCCAAATGCCCAATTGCTTATCTTCTCTCGCCTGTTCTGCGCCCGTTTAGCCTCCCCTATACCGTCAAACAAAAGCTGTTTAGGCATGCGGTGGATAGGCATGCTAGCTACATGCCCCAGCTAATGCAGCCTCGATTGCAGGAGGAACTCACCGATGGGACTGTATCCAGATCTTTCAAAGATCTGTGAGCTTCTCACACAATCCAGCCTGGTTAAACCCAGGATGGATCGTAGGTAGGCGAGCCTTAATGTTTCTAACCGGCGCAGATGTTCCATTAGGGGAGATCCGCGTTCCGCAAGCGTAGAGAAGGGAGGGAATGACTGCGGAGAGTCAGACCAGCTAGCTTCCACAGAGCCTTACGCAGTCGATGAAAAGATTCTGCCGCCAGACTGATTCGGAGTGAGACCTCTGCCATCAAACTGGAGCTGGTCAAAAGCACACTTCCCATGTATAGAAACCTCTCCAGTCTCCACAACTGCACCATCACCAATGGAGAGCGAGGGACTTGGAGTGTTTGATGTCACAACATACCCAGGCAGGTGCCTAGTTTTGGTGGGGCTGATGGTAAGGCCCCACCCCTTAGTGGCACACTCCAGCTTCAGTATCAGCGCCTCCAACTCCTTCTCTGAGTGACCAACAATCACCAGATCATCAGCAATCACCAGATCATCAGCAATCACTAGGTAATCAGTATACATAACATGGCTGACCACGAGTGAGGGAAGGCGCTGGGTTTGGGTGGCCATCATCATCAACCATGATCAATCAACTGCTGGATGATGATGGCCTCCCAAACCCAGCGCCATCTCTCACCTGTCCTGAAATGTAACAATCTTCCCTTTTGCATTGTAATTTCCCAGCATGCATTTGTAACGACTCTCGGAGGCACGAACTGTAGAGGGTTTCTTTATTTCAACTTAGTCGCTTCACAGCGATGACTTCAAGACAGCGACGATGCGAAGACAGCTCCCGGACTGCGACGACCCCGATTTCCACAGTAGCCCGAACCTCGCTCCTCGCCCCCTTTTTATCCTTGGCGTGGCCATGCCTCCATCCCTGGCCACGCCCTTACTTCTTGAACTCTCCTGGAGGTTCCAGATCGTTCCCTTCTCTGTCACCTAGCCTGTTATTACTGCTTGTGACCGCTAGCCTTCTAGATTGTCTTCACACCTGTAATTACCACTCGTGACCGCTAGACCATGCATTGTCTTTACACACGCACTGCCTCTACACGTGCATTGCCTTTACACACTAACTGTCTTTACACATGTACTCCCAGAATGTTCCTCTTTTGGTGCCACTCCGTTGTGAGTCCTGACCATTGGCCATCATCCCGTCTTAGCCACGAAGCGTCCTGCCCAAGGCCCACTGGAATTTTAACAGTCGCGATGATGAGTTTAACTCTTTCAATCGCAATACTATTCTTGCCTATAGTGGCAAACATGTTCAGGAGCTTAATGGCAATGCCGAGGTCTGCTGGCTACGACGAGAGGGCTTTGCTGTTCCTCCTCCGTTGAAGGAGCGCAGACGGCAGTGGTTTACCATATGGGCCATAGCTTGAGTTGCATGGCCACGATCGCACTCCATGTGGCTTGTGTCTTTTTAATTTCTTTTCAATTTGGGAAGATGTGTGCATCGGTCTGTAGATGTTCTGGCGAGGTTTATGGTTCACACCACCAGTGTCTTGGAGGATGTTTGGGTCTGAAATGATGTGTTCATTTTTGGACGTCCAAGTTGTGCTATTCTGTTCACCAGCGTTCCACCAGATCTGGGTGAGATTCTAGGCTGGTGGCAGCAGGTCAACCACATAATGTTTGCCATCGTGATTTGGCCTTGTTGCTCCCAAACGCCGAATTGCCAGAATACGCGACTTTAAAGTGCAGTACAATGCTTCCGTGCGTGAACATTGTCCCATTTTTGTTGAGTCCACAGGTGCCAACTCTGAGCTGCCCTTACGATGACTCCACAAGGGTTATTTCTCGATTTTAAATGTTATATATATATTTTAAACAAGGAACCGTTCAAACATCCTGTAAACAATCAAATTCATTGAAATAATCTTGTTTGCTTCGTCTGAACTCACGATTGAGAGTCTGGCAAAGATACGAGCCTGCGGGTTAAACAGCGGTCCCCTCCATTTCTCGGTCACGCCGCTCGCTTACGCTCCCCCACGGGGTGATATCTCGACTCCGCAGCCGCCACCACCATCCTCTCTTCCTCCCCCCAGCTTGACCACAGCCCCTGCCGCGCCCTGCGCAGCAGATGGGGTCCATAGCCACGAAAGAGGAACCGCGACCGTGGGAACCGAGCGCTCGCCGTCCTCGCGGTCCATGCGTCCCACGTGGCACGGCGGAGGTCGCTCTGGCGAAACTCGCGCGGGTTTTGTAAGCGCCCGGTTACTGGAAACACGTGGAAAGAACTGGGGGCTAGTGACTTGAGTGAGTGAGAGAGAGAGAGAAAAAAGAGGGGAATTTAATTATCAGACCGTGAGCGTCGCTTAAGAAGTGCGGTGACGTTGGACGGAAGCAGGAGGCACCGTGGGAGAGGGCTGCGACCCCTCCCCGTGACCGCATCCGAATTTCAAAAAAGTCAAATTTTAGGTGAATGATGTTTAGGACACCATAGAGCCGGTGGTGGAAATTCCACGCCCTTGTGGTGCTGTCGAATTTCTCCATAACACGCAGGGCAACCACTGTTGGCTTGCCCAAAAAAAGCGATTCTCGTTGTATGGGTCCCGGAAGGAGGGATGATGTCCCGAGTTAACCTCCCAATCAGGATTTGAACTCATGACCTTCCAATTGCGAACCGCTCGGTCTGCCGCTGAGCCAAGCAGACAGGGGGTCGGAACCGCTCCGGAGTTTGTGCTTGCGTTCAACCATTGCTGGTGAAATGATGCGCTCCCGAGAAGGGCGTGTGGCTGATGGGATGTATGAAAATAACAAAACATGATTTTGTTGCGTAGAGGGAGAGACGTGGGAATGAGGAGGGGGATTTTCTGACAGCTCAACGATTGTAGCGTCTCGAGCCTGGGCAACAACCGCCAGAACGCAACGACAATGGAGACATCAAAATCAATTACCCGACATGCGCCTGATCTTGAAACGCGAGCAGGGTTGGACAAGCGGTTGTTGGGTGGTTGGGCCACCATGCATAACAGGTGCTATAGGCTTTCCAGGGGACTGTGTGGTGGGCAGCAGAGGGCAATGCAGCAATATCAATGGTTGTACCGTACTGATGAATCAGCTGTGACCAGCATGGTGAAGTTGGGTAAATTAAAGTCCCAACTCAGTTGTCAAACTGAATAAACACTCATAGACAACTACTGTATGCAGCCGCTCTGCAGCACCACTCGACAAAACCACTCCACTGCCGGCTCTCACCTGGTGTTTAACTCACCTGCTACTCTTTAGTTCTTTCGGTAAAGTCACGTAGGTAGAAAAATAAAACAAAAAATAATATATCACGACGTTTCGATCGCAACACAAGCGGTCGTCCTCAGGCGGAAAAAAATAATCCAGCAGTGCAACTGCTGAACCAGCGAGAGAGCTGTGACAACAAGACGTTATTTACGTGGCGATGGGCATTTCAATGTCTCCAGATTATTTGCTTGTCAGCTTCGATGTAGTCTCTCTGTTCACAAAGGTACGTGTACCTGACACCATAGCAATCATTCAAGACTTGGTCCAACAAGGACTGAATCCTGATGTACTAACTTTGGTGAGGCACTGCCTTACCAACACTACTTAAATTTCGATTTAAAGCTTTCGTGACTGCAGGGATTCATCTTCTTGGTTCTTTCGGTAAAGTCACCACGTAGAATGGAAATAAAATAAATAAAATAAAACATAATAAAATAAAATTCTCACAACGTTTCGGCCACAACACAAGTAGCCTTCTTCAGGTGAAGGAACACAACTGTCGGGACGACAGCGCTTCAATGAACACTGCCAAGCTTGGCAGTGTCTTTTAAGCTGGGTGGGAGGAGCAGAGCGCCTTGACAAAGGAGTTTACATTCAACAGAAGAATTTAGCATTGAAATAGCTGTATTAAAGTGTTGGATTAATGAGAATCTCCCAGTTACATGCAAATTTCTGACTTTAACACCCTGCTAATCCAACCCTTAAACACAGCTATTTCAATGCTAAATTCTTCTGTTGATATGAAGACTCCTTTGTCAAGGTGCTCTGCTCCTCCCACCCAGCTTAAAAGATGCTGCGAAGCTTAGCAGTGTTCATTGGAGCACTGTCGTCCCGACAGTTCTGTTCCTTCACCTGAAGAAGGCTACTTGTGTTGTGGCCGAAACGTCGTGAGAATTTTATTTTATGATGTTTTATTTGTATTATTTTATTTCCATTCTACGTGGTGACTTTACCGAAACAACCAAGAAGATGAACACTTACTTAATCTGGAATGGTACATTCTAAAAACAAAATGAAGGTACCCCTATGGGTTCTCCCTTATCACAAGTGGTAGCGAATGTTTTCATGGAGACATTTGAAACAGATG